CGCTTGTAAATATCAAGGGAGTAGAAGGATACTTCATTGGGACCTATTCGAACCAAAGGGCCTTGAAAGTTGTGAGAACATGTCGTAGAATTGAAGTTTTGCATTGAGCCAACCGCTCTTGGGGCTTTGTTCCACGTTTGAAAAAATAACAAAAATCTGTTCTCAAAGGTAAAACTTACCATGTCGTTTGTGTAGTTTTGGTAGTTCCAAAGTTAAGCGTCCTCGATACTCCGTGGGAAATTCCCACAGTAAACGTGATATTGGTGCAAGTATACTGGCGTTCGGGATGTGTGATAGAGGAGAAAAATAGTACGTATAAATAATCTTTCCGAACGATCAGTTAGTTCTCTTAGATCAACAAGTTTCTTAGCATACCCAAACAACAGCTCCAAGAGCTACAAGGAAACCCCAAATCAAAAATGACATGACTTCTAGAATGTCTCAGCGAAGATAAATCGCTGGTAACCAGCGAAATCATAGAATGCTTTATAAGAACCAATTTAAATAAACAACGTATCGCCTATACCTTCCTTTTTGTATACTGTTCGATTTTTTTAATGAAAACGCCATATCCCGTACGCGCGGTTTAGTTTTTGCGCCGTGATAACACCACCGGGAGCGTTTGTGGCATAATCTTGCGCCATACACAATCATTTCGCGAAGAAACCGAGGTCCACATTTGAGCCTTAAGCCGAATAAATTTTTATCGCCGGTACTATATATGACAAAAGTAGTAAATACTGCGACTGGAGGTTTAGCCCTAACAAAATTTGCCCCTATTTATTCTACTCGGTCCCCTCGTAGGATCCGGTCTAGGGCTGCACATACTTCACCTTTGCGTACATCGGAGTCATGGCAGACCTTAAGAATCCTGAAGACTCCCTGGCACAGGAGGTAAATGCCAGTGATGAGAATACATTGGTATGGTATCGTTCAAGTGCAACAAAGATATGGTACGAATTGACACCTTTGGCTCTTATAGGAGCGTCTAGGATACAAACAAGTGAGTGGAAGGATATATATCTTCTAACCGAGAATTTTATGCTGACTTGAACTTATTGACGTAGGTTCTTCATCGCAGTTACTCACTATTTGAGAATTTCTCAACTTCGTTTGGTATTTATTGCTCTTTTTCCACACACGGTGTGGGGGTCTGGCTGTTGGTCATTAACCCTTTCGATCAGCTGCTCTGTATTTCGTCGGTGGTGTCCGAGTGACATTTACAACAGGTATCGCAGCTGGAGGACCATTGGCTTATTGGTATAATCCAGAACCCAACGTAAGGACGACAAAGGAAGCCTTATTAACGTGTATATCAGGTCGAGTTACATTGTAACCTGTGTGTTTACGTTCATCACAGCAGCTGTGATCGCAGAAGCATGTTCAGCTTCTCCTTCTGCTGGTTCGATTTATCTATGGGCTGCGGAAGCAGGTGGTAAAAGGTTTGGGCGACTCTTTGGTTTCATCGTAGCCTGGTGGAGCACAACAGCCTGGACAACATTCTGCGCCAGTAAGTCCCTCGGGTGTTGTTTTTTGTCCATGTCTGAACTAACTGGTTTACGATGATAGGCAATACCCAGTCAGCTGTAAACTACATGCTCTCGGTGCGTATTGTGTTATTATATCTGCCGGTGGTGTCTCTAAACTGACTCGGCTTAGGAACTGGCTGTTTTCAATGTCAACTTTCCCACTGATGTCTCAAATATCAAATTCCGTGCTGTTCAGTGGATATGCACCGAAATCCTCCTGGCTTTAGCTGCGTTAATGAACCTCGCATCTGGTAAGACGGCCTACACAAATGTTATCATCTCTTAACCTTCGCGCAGAGTTGAACTTTTTGGCAATAATGCTAATTTAAATTTACAGCGCGGGTTTTCAAATATGTCTTTTGGTTCTCAACTGGTGCTGTCTTTCTGGACTTCATATTGAATGTTGTATGGCTTCCAATCGGTGCACACAACACCTTTGGCCTGCGGACAGCCAATGAAGCATTCATGACTACATATAACGGAACGGGAGCTCCGGCTGGTTGGAACTGGTGTCTTTCATATTTGGCGACAGCCGGTATTCTGATCGGATTTGATGCCTCAGGTCATGTCGCTGAAGAGACTAAGAATGCCGCCGTCAATGCCGCCAAGGGTATCTTCTGGAGTACAGTTGTCAGTGGAGTTCTTGGCTTCTCTGCCGTGATCTTATTCCTTTTCACTTCGGTAAGTTTTTCCAGAAACTTCTCTTCTAGGGGCCAGAAACTAATAATTTGGTAGCCTCCAATCGATGTTCTCTTCTCATATGACGCACCCCAACCTTTCGTGCCCTTGTATGCCGCACTTCTGGGCGAGGGTGGACATATTGTTATGAATGTGCTTTCGGTCGTTGCTCTATGGCTGGTATGTTTTCTTTTGCTCTTAAACTACCTGAAACCCAGAAATTATTATTGTTTAAATGGTTCCTCTGTGAGAGAACATACTGACCTATCTAATAGAATACCGCCATCGCCATCACAGCAGCCTCCCGCCTGGTTTTCGCCGTCGCCCGTGATGGAGTACTTCCACTATCTGGGTGGGTATCGCAGGTCTCTGCGGAGGGCCAACCTAGGAACGCAGTCCTTGTCGTGTGGGGCGTAGCTGCTGTTATTACCTGCACTATCCTGCCGTCCGCGGTGGCATTTACTTCTCTAGTCTCAGCTGCGGGTGTTCCTTCAGCTGCTGCCTACGGACTCATTAGCCTTGGAAGGTTGACTTTGACTTCCGGTGAGAAGCTTGAGGCAAAATGGTCTCTCGGGCGACTAAGCAAGCCATTCCAGTTCATCTCAGTTTTGTGGAATGGCTGGGTTGTCGCGGTGCTCTTCTCGCCATATTCGTTTCCCGTTGAAGCCTCCACTCTAAACTGTAGGTGATATCTGCTACTAGGTGTCACGTCATTGGAAGAGACTTTGTGCTAATATATTCTTAGATGCGCCGATTATCCTAGGTATTGTGACTATCTTCGCGCTCATCTCATGGTTCTTCACTCCGGCTACAGCGTGGGTACCGCGGGGCCGGCTTTCCCATCCAGTTGAAGATACGGAATGAATATTGCACGTTAAATTGCTCCTTTGGTCACTTTCACTGGTCGAAAACAGGAAGATTTTATAAAGGGTAACAAGCAAATATTGCGAACCACTTTAATTCTTAATTCGTTGAATTCCAACCATTCAAACCAAGTTTATATATATTTCTCGCACCTCACCCCAGTTTTTCGAAAAATGTATGTATCTCAAATTTCGAACAAATCCCGCTAGACTTACCAGAGTTAGAGAAAAAACGACATATATGATATCTTTTACGAGCTACGTCAGATTGAAATTGAAACCACCTGAGAGAAACGGAGTTGGTATCAAAAATAGGCTGGAGGCCCACAGAAGCTGCAATAGACACGTGATCATATGACATAATCCGCGCTACTGGCCCCATCGAATAAAATTTTGCGAGCGGCTTTCTCTTTTCCTTTCTTTCTTCACTTCAAAACATATACACGGTCCCCAACACACTCTTGTCGATGGAAAAATCTCACTCTATCTACATATTTTAGCTTAGGGACCCAGACCGAAGAATGCTCGTTCTAATCCCGCCCCCTGACATGCAGCCAGAGGGGAACGGGTTCGCTTTTGAGCCAACATCCCCAAATCATGTATTGATGTGAATCTTGCGATTTAGTCTTGCAGTTTGGTGTTTTGGAACCCGTGTTTACTCGCAGGGGTCAGCTTTGTCTGGCACTGAACTCTTAATGCTTGGGTTTCAACCCCTGCGAGGCACTCGGTTCTTGACTTGCATGGTCATTTCCTCCAGACAGGGATGATCGATCATATTCGTGCTTTTTTTTATTATTATTCACTAACCCCATACAGCTAGATAGATGTAAACCACCTTGGCATCTTCGAAGTCTTGTCCGTCATATCTTGATGTTTGAGGTCAAAAAGATGCCAAAACTAAGCCCTCACAGTTGGATACGTCCTTCTGGAGACTCCCTCGTGTTACGCCCGCTCCCTCCATGGGGCTGTGCGTGTCAAAGTTGGGAGATACATTCCTTGTAAACAACCATAAATTGTGAATGGTTATTCCATTAGCGGCTTGCCCCAGAAGCGTTGCCTCGTCATATTGGAGAAAGAAAAAGCGAAGAATGCTCTGGCTTTGTGGCATGCTGTAGATCTGCATCGCACATAAGTCCTAGCTAGGGACTTGCAGCAACCCTTCGTCGAAGACCTGCGTCTCCATCCCTATGTGAATATTGTTCCTGCATTTTGAGTAGTTCGATGGTTGGAAATTCCAAAAGGAAAGTCCGTGGATCCTGCATAGGTCCTCAGGACTTGGTTGACTAAAGCCAGCATGAAAACTGCTAAGCGCTCAGGTATGGCTGGGATGATTGGGGGTTAGGCATGAATATGCGATCCTTACCACTCCAACGTCTTAACATGGAATGCGGGACAATTTATCATGAGGCGTTGTCCACTCCATATCACCTCGGTCAATTTAAGTCACTATCTTTGAATATCCCTTAATTGATACCCAGCCAATCATTAGCTGCAACGGATATACTTCCAGGTAGGAGGCGTTAACGCCCATACCAAAATCTAAGGGTGAATGAATCGAATCTTTCTCCCCTGACACAGCCATTGGACATAGTTAAAGGGCCCATAAAATAACGCGGTGATATTATGCTATCTTATCCCAGAAGGGAGTCCAAATGCCACGCAAAAACGCGTGTTAGTTAGTTGCAACAAAGCTCTCCACCCTAGCCCCCTTGACCTTCCATTCCCTCCATGATATGATCAAAGGGGCTACATATAAATCCGATGTAACTCCCGCAGAGCCCTGGGCTCTGTTTCTCCCAACGATCTGTCCACTTGCACCATTCACTCATTTTCCTAAACCATTACCATTTACACTCGTTTGGAGACAGTTATTTGGACATAATTTCGTTCCCCTCATCTATATTCTTGTTAATATACACCACTATTCACAATGGCCCGGTTCAGTCTCTCATTCCTCTCTATTTTCCTCGTCCTTGCGGTCCTCACTCTCTCCATGCCCACCAAGCGTGATGAGCAAGCCGCCGGTGAGCCGCTTGGCCTCGCTGGTACTGTTGGCAATTTGATTGTTAGTCAACTGTTCCAAATTACCCATGACCTGTACAATATTAACCCATGAATTTAGCAATCCACCAAGTTGATGGATGGTCTTGACAAGGACAGCCAAAAGGAAAAAGCGGACAAGAAGGTGGCCCTGAAGGAGCAGGCCAAAGAGGAGGAGACCAAGGCCTATGCGAAGATGGCTGAGAAGAGTGCGGCTGCTGCCAACCCTACTCCCACTCCCACCCCTACCAAGAAGCTATCCTCCGGAAATTTTGTGACCCCAACTACTACTCCCACCCACAAGCCCACATCTGAGCCCAACGCTTTGGGCAATCTCCCCCTCATCGGAGGTATTCTCGGTGGTACCGGCGTCGGTCTCTGATTGACTAAACATCGATCCCGATATGTGAGACTGGAAATGAAGGTGTTGCAAAATCTGGGATGAACGGAGTTCCCTTTCGGCGGACCCTGGTTGGTTGATATTTATTTTCGTTATTTACTTTTGTTACAAGGGGAATGGTCAATGAGATCCTTGTGAAGTTTCATGATTAATTTGATATGATTGGTTCCATTGCTTGTCTGCAGGGTTTTACTCTTAATCCGCACTTCGTAATACTGTATCCGCGAATGTCCTTGTTCGAACAAAGCACGTTCTCTTCCAGTCTAAACCATAGTCGCATCACGAGCTCGGGTGGCGGGTCGCCTGTTGTTGGCCTTCATGAAGTCCCGTGTAGTAGCCTGCATAGTACCACGACATCATGAGGTTCTTCAAGGACTCATCTTGGACTAGTAGTATATGTTAGTTAGCTGAATCAACGTGTCCCGAAGGTGGAGCATACCATTTGCCATAATGGGGTGCGGCATAGGCATAGCAGGAGTGGAAGCCGCCGAACTGGTATGAGCCGCGGGTTGAGGAGGCTATGTATCGTTAGTAAAACTTTTGATGAGAAATATATCAATAAAACGGCAATATACCTCAGGAGCAGGCTCAGAAGTTTGGTTGTCAATGGCCATTGGGACATCCTCATCTGCAGGTTTGGTGACACTGTCCTCAGTGGCTTTGGCGCCTTCAGTGTCGACTTGAGATACAGCTGGAGTAATACTAGTGTCTTCTGCTTCTTTCAAGACATCTTCAACATTTTCACCCTTGGCATGAATGCTCCAATAATGCTACCGTCAGGTTAGATATCGGTCACGTGAATCGGATATTTGGCGACTGACCTGGTATTCTTCGACAGCATCGTCCCAAGATTGAACCAGGGCAGAATCATCCCAAACCTCCGCGTGTGTCAAGGGCCCTTTTTTATTCTTCCCCATTTTCTTGGCCCATTTGCGGTTGGGATATTTTGGGCGGTAGTAAGTAAACATCTTGGCGGTGACAGTGGTAATGGTCGAGGCGGCTCACCGCCTTCCAAGCAAATCAGAGATGAAAAAAAAGTTTCCCGCAGATGATCGAGCAGCATACAGTCTCCAATTCGACACAACAAAACGTCAAAATGGCCCCTGATAAGAGAGTCTCAAAGCGCAAGGGTATGTGAAATGTTTATGACCGGTGGAATTTCTTTTCATCTCACTAACACTGCTACAGCTGCGCCTGTCGCCGCCGACTCGCCCGCCAAAAAAACCAAGAAGGTCGAGGCCAAGCCCGCTGAGGCGACCAAGGAGGATGCTCCTAAGTCTATCTTGAAGAAGAACGAGAAGGGTACCAAGTCCAAGACAGAGAAGGCTGCTGCGCCGGCCAAGACCAATGGCGAGCCCACACGCCAGGTCAAGCCTCGCAAGCGTGCTGCCGACTTCCTTACCGACGAGGAGACCGAAGAGCCCGTCGCGCCTGTGAAGGCTGACAAGAAGGCCGAGAAGAAGCCCGCCGCTAAGAAGTCCAAGAAGGAGGAGGAGGCTGAGGCCGCCCCCGCTCCCAAGAAGGCTGCCGCGAAGAAAGCCGCCCCCAAGACCAAGAAGCCCGAGCCCGTCGTCGAGTCCGAAGAGGAAGAGGCCGAGGAGGATGTCTCCCCCGCTGATGAAAGCGAGGCTGAGAACGAGGGTGATGATGACCAGACTGAGGCTCTCATCAAGGGCTTCGAGAGCAGCGGTGACGAGGATGAGTCTGATGGTGAGGGTTACAAAGAGGGTGAACCCATCCCCAAGACCCCAAGCACCAAGAAGGCGGAGCGCAAGCTCGCCAAGCAGCTGCGAAAGAATGGCCCTCCTGAGGAGCCCGGCACTGTCTATATTGGGTGAGTTTCGACCGTAATTTCTGACTAGTCTGAACCATCTAACATTCAATCCTCAGACGTATCCCCCACGGTTTCTACGAGCACCAGATGAAGGCCTACTTCTCCCAATTCGGCGAAATCACCAAACTCCGTCTCTCGCGCAACCGTCTCACCGGTCGCTCCAAGCACTACGCCTTCATTGAATTTTCCTCGACTACCGTCGCTAAGATTGTCGCTGACACTATGGACAACTACCTCATGTACGGCCACATCGTCAAGTGCAAGTATGTCCCCAAAGAGCAGCTGCACCCCGAGGTCTGGAAGGGCGCCAACCGCCGCTTCAAGGTTACGCCATGGAACCGCATCGAGAAGAAGCGTCTCGCGAAGGGCAAGACACGTGAACAGTGGTCGAAGAGCATCGAGTCCGAGCAGAAGAAGAGACAGGCTAAGCTCAACAAGCTCAAGGCCCTGGGTTACGAGCTTGATCTTCCCCAGCTGAAGAGCGTCGATGATGTCCCTGTTCAGGAGGCCCCCAAGGCTGTCGAGGCCACTGAGACCACTGAGGCTGCCGCCGAGGAGCCTGCCAAGGCCATCGAGGCTCCTGCTCCTGTTGAGGCTCCTGCTGCTATTGAGGCCCCTGCTCCTACCGATGATACCCCCAAGAAGGCCAAGAAGGGCAAGAAGACAGAGACACCCAAGCCCGCTGCTACAGAGTCACCCGCTGCTAAGTCTCCTGCTGCCAAGTCTCCTGCCACCAAGGCGAAGGGAAAGGTCACTAAGAAGGCCACCAAGACCAAGTCCAAGGCGTAAACGGGATCATGTAAAAATTGTTTGTAATTTCATTCATCAAGCCTTTTTGTCAAATGCATTGTTTTTTTTTTCCCTTCATCATCAAATTCCCTTTATTACTACCTAAAGCCTAAATCAGCATGAAGAAAATCGCCAGACAAAAGGTGTACCATGAAAGTATGGGAGTGGTTGATAGGGATTCCTCATATTAATTGGGCCTTTTTTCTCCCCTCTGGGATATTGTCTCGGTCTATCTCTTTGTGTGTGTTTCTGGTTGTATCTTTTGTAACAGTGAAGGAAAAACTCGTCATTTTCCCTAGTGTTTTCCTCTGGCACTTTACAACATACTTCTAGATGCCCTCCGGGCTATCGCAAGCCCTAACCCGATACCATCCACGCTAATCCAAACCAAGCCTAGCCCCATCACCTGACTAGCGCGAGAAAAATAAAAGCCACGCCCCGAAGATTCCGATTCCTTTTCTTCTCCCAACTCCTCGCTCAAAGAATCGCATTCAAAGCTCACGCACAAAAGGAAGCCTCGCTCCCTTTTCCAATTTTGCTTTGGGAGAAAGTCCCCGGACACCCTGCGCTTTGGGTAAAACCAAAGTACCAAGCCAGGCACTGCGGAAACGCGCCGCCATAGAAGCAATTCGATAGCGGCTTACGCCCTATTCCCTCACGGTATCCTGTGCCACCCGACGGTTACATTTCACGATGTCTCTGGAAACAATGGGGTGTGTGCTGGGTATTGGAGGGGGAAGGATTGGTGGTAAAACATCTTTCCTTGTATTGGGTTGCCTTTCGTCATGTTCGGATAGTCATGCGATTGCCTCCTGTCTGCTTCCTCGGAAGTTGATGGAGGTAACTCAATGGGGCTCATTCTTGAGGCGAGGAGTTCCTTGGTCTTTTCTTTTCAAGAGTCTGTAGCTTATGGCAAAGCGGTGGTGAGATGTTGTCTCGTCGCAGAAGCCCTGTCACAGGGGCCGGACTCTTCTATCTTGCCATAGGCTTTTATTTTTTTCTTGTTCGCGTGATGATATACCAATCATAGAGTCAAGCACAGAGATCCCAAGGGATTGTTGACGATAAACGATTTAAAATTATCTGATGAACATCATATAGCTAGCTTTTCCCAAGAAATTCAAATACCAATGCAATTGAAATAAATGATTAAAATGCAATATTCATAAGTAAATCGTAGCATTTCACTTCGTATAATACAACCGGTCTCCATGCAATATAGCTAAGCTCATGTTTTCGCGTTCACTGTGCCTTTCCCTCAGCACCGACAGGCGCAGCCTCCTTCTTGACCTTCTTCTGGCCAGCCACCTGCACTAGCAATGCTCCCGCGACCTCGGCGGCGAGCGCAATGGTAGTCGCACAGACATTGCTCCAAACATGGATGCTGACAGAGCCCAGCGGGGCACGAGGGAAGGACACGATCCATTGAACGTAGTACGGGAACCAGGCCTCGGGGAGCGGGAAGACAGGCGTTTTCGAGTACCAGAACTGCAGGAACATCTTCAACCCGTTTGTGCTGAGCCAGCGGGCGATCTTCACGGTCCAGTCGAAGGAGGATTTCTGTGCGGTGAGCGTCTTGTCTGTAGAGCGACCAGCTTGTTAGCAGTCTGAGCAATAGAGATAACAACGCCTCCTATAGCCTTGTTGCGGTGGCACGTACTCAGCGCCTCGTATTCCTCCATGGTCTTGTCGTGTCGTCTCCTAGCCTTCGCCCACTTCGCAAACTCATCCTGGGAGCTTGTGCTGTTCATTTCGTGCTTTTGCTCGAGGACTTGGCGCTTCAGCTGCTGCTGCTTGCGTGCAGTCCGCGAGGTCGGCGTCGGCAATCTTAGGTAAAGGAGCCATAACTGTATGCCAAAGCGAGTAGGTGTTAGCGTGTGGAATCACAATATAGGTGCGCGGCGGAGCTGGAAGCTTCTCAAAGGCCACAAATAGGATTGTTGGACACATACAAGACCGTCAATGGTACTCGCACCGATCGTATTGACCAGATAAATTGCGACGTGCACGAAGAAGACGGTGAGGACGAGGGACAACATCGTGGCGGGGGCTGGCAAGAGGCGTTGGATGCGACGGCGCAGGCTCGGGGAGCCTGTAAGAATGCGACGGCGGCACAGTCGGCTGACCAAGCGAGTCTCTGGTAACGAGGTCTGCTGGGAGAGACAGGAAACGGCCTGGCAAGATAGATGTTGGTTGCTGGTTGAAGGAGTGAATGACGTCCCTGGTTGTGGAAAGGTGGAAATAACAGCGGACTTGGCCTTTCCGCCTTCACTGTATCACGGCCTACACCATCTTGTCTACCGCTTTGCTTGTGGAAGGACAAATAAAATAAAAAAATTATTTCAAAGAAACAAGATACATATAATGAGGCTTTGACGATTATTCCTTCCAATTTCCACCAAACAACGAAACTCTCAAATGTCCAACCCGAAAGATGCATTCCAGGAACTTGTCCGCATCTTCTCATCTAGAGACAACCAAGTCCTCGAGATCGAGATCATCCCACCAAGCCTAGGCGCTACATTCCTCCAGGATGGATGCTCACTGGGAATAACCAAGAAAGCACTGGTGCAGGCCTTCACGATCGCACGCCAGCTCTTTTTCGACCGATTAATGCTCATGTCCGAAGATGATCTCCAAACTACTTTTCCGATAGACGGCCAGTCTAGAAATGCAGACTCAGCTATTACAGAAGTGATGCTCCTCTTCGACTGCGAGCATCTCACAGCCTGCAACTGGCGCAAGCGCCGACTGCAGGCAGCCGTGTCGCATTGCCCTAGTATTTCAAACCAGCCCTCTACCGCAACGGAGTTGTTAGAAGCCGAACTTACCCTCATGTCGAGCTACCAGTGCTCGCCACTTCATCGCCATACCAAGTCACCGACGCTCTGGCATCACCGACTGTGGGTAGTTGTCCATCTGCTCCAAGGACGGCATTGGAGCCGCGAAGATCTGTTCACGTTTCAACGAGCAGAACTAGATGTTGTTCTTCGCGCTGGAGAACTGCATCCCAAGAACTATTATGCTTTCAGCTACATGCGACAGTTGGAAGTGCTTCTCGCTGCTACAGTGGAGAATACGACTGGGCAATCAACGTGTGAAACCCATTCAGCGCAGTCGGTTGTCGACCGGGTGGTTGCTTGGTCCTTAGCTAATCCACGCGATATATCGGGTTGGAGCTTCTGTCTGTACGTGCTAAGCAATTTCCCGGAGCAACGGAGTCGAGTGAATGCTCTCGAGAGTGTGGTTAAGTTTGCACTTAACGTTGGATGGGAAGGCGAGAGCCTTTGGACGTTCGTCGACCAAGCATCGAAGCAATTTGGGCTTGAAAGTGTGGTTGAGGATACCATGCTATTGCACTGTGATCAAGAAACCAGATCTCATGGCTCTCAAAGGGCCCAAGACAGTCGGCAGAAGAAGTCATGGCAGACCTGGCTGGCCCAGGCGAGAGTATATTGGGCCGTAGACGACCAAGGGAAGAATACATAACCGGATGGGATATGGATGTATATACTATCTGTTTACGTGTTTACGATTACCACCAAAATTGCACCTCCATGATATTCATGTGTCGTTGCCTCGTTTGGTTAGCGCTTTGATATACATGATAGGGCTAAATATGTGATGAACGCCAATGAGATTTAAACAAACGCCTCGCTAGACACCTAGCCCCCCCCGGTTCTTGAAATCTGGGCATAGGCGGATGGTTCCGATCTTATCCACGAACCCAGGGCCGTCCTTCATTCTGTTGCTCGGTGGGTTGTCTGTTTCGGGCGGTCGCGAGAAAGGTCGAGGGAGATCAGACTGACTGACGGGTTGGGTCAAAGGATTAAGGCGTATTATTTTTTTTGCCTCCTCCTGCTGCAGCCTCGGCGGCTTTCTTTTCGTCCGCTGTCGAAGAGAAGCGATCAGTACACCAGTCCCATGGCGTGGGTTGGACGTCTACCGCATTGGGAATACATACCCTTCCTCTGCTTCTCGCGCATGATGGCAGCAGCATCATCCTTGCTCCTGGCAAATTCGCTACCGGACTGGGTGTTCTTGTTCTTCTGTAGAAACGGTCAGTATGAACAAAGAGGAGCGCGCGGGGGAGGCCAGACGAACCGTGTTGCCCGCCTTCTTCAGGGCCTTGGCCCGATCGTTATCACGTTGGTTACCGCGTGTCATGTTGTTTATGGTATTATCGCAAAAGTATCCAAAGTAGTTGGGGGCGCAAAATGTTTAGAGAGTGAGAGAAAAAGTTTGGAGGGGTCGGCCGCATTCTGGCGAATCACAGGGGTTCCACTCATCTACGAAATACTTCACTATATACACTTGCTCTCGATATTCTTGATCGCTTGACTTTGAATTATTGGGGTATCGGGGAATTTCTTTGTTATTTATTTTATCCGGACTCATTTGATCGGCGACTATGTACTGTCGGTGATTGGGCAATAATTCTTACCTTGTTTCAACTCTGGTTTTCTACTTCATCCTGGCGCTTCGCCTCAAAGCCCACTACCTACAATGTATTTTGCGCTTCAAATATCTTGCTATATTCACCTTAATACACGTATGATCTAGAAATCCTTTGAACTATATCCATCAGGCAATACGCCAAGTTTGAGGTAAGCAGAAACGAAACACGGGGAACACGAGGGAAAGAAGGGCGACTTGTAGCCGCCCACTAGTTTCAGCATGGCCGAGTATCCTCTGCTAATGACCAGTCGTTTGATTACATCGGGCCCTAGGTGGGATCCCAATGCCGGAAGTGTAGGTAATTAGGCTTGTTCCGGTTACAACCCCGATCTCTGCGCTTAAAGGTCCCTAGTTATTGCCTAGATCGCAACAATGAAACACCACCTGCAGTGTTGCAGGATATCTCCCCCACTGCAGAGATGGGGTGAAAAACCCTGCCGATGTCTTTATCTAGGACTCAAATTAGATACATATCATTTGTGTGGTTCATCCATACGTTTCAAGTCTATTCATAGAAAAACCGTACTATCGCCTTTGTCGGAAGCATACATCTAGGCTGCGGTACCTCAATGGCCATTCTTCCATAGATGCCTTTCTTCATTGTCGTCCCCATTCGCCCTTTTCTTTTGTCTTTGTGTTTCTTTATTCCTTTCTTGCCCTCGACTTGATCTCATTCTATCGCATTGTTCTATACTTTCTTGGAATATCAAGCTTTCTGCTGGACAGTCGCTTTCTTCCTTCTTTTAATCCCAACCATTTCCCCAAGTCTGCTAACAGACAAATCTTCTATACATCCTCGACAACGAGTATCTACCATTCTTGACAAGTGCAAAGACAGGCCTGTGCCTCAATCATGATGACTCGCTTGCGTGAATCCCTGGCCGGTCCAGGGTACGTGATCTTGAACGTTATTCGCGTTCTCAACATTATCACTTTTATGGATCTTATAGCTGCTTGTGCAGTTTTGCTGGCCAAAATCGACATGCTCAACAGCTTCTTTTTCTTCGAGGCGGTGACCCATGCCGTGGTGGCTCTGGTTAGCCGTAAGTATAACCTTTCCTTCCATGTTTGTGAAATAAATGCTAATCTTGGTAGTCTTCATGATCATCTCGGAGCTCCCCATTCTGCAAGGTTATTTCGACAATCACTGGCCGATGTTCGGACAAGAATCTAGTTTCTACTCTCTTGGTGGGATCATGATGATCCTGGGTGTAGCAACACTGGGCAACCTGAACACCAAGGCCATGACCCAGGAAGTCATTGGAATGAGTTTCTGGCAAATAATCGTCTCTGCCGGCGTCCTGGCAATGATAGTTAGTGTGCTGAATGTTCTGGCAGTAAGTACCGATATCAAAACCCCCCAATTTGCCCACTATATTTCCTTGGCCCAATGCTAACCCATTTCTCCCGACAGAGCTACATCTTCAGCGACCCCGAGACCGGCGTCAGTGCCCGCCAGGTGCGGGTAGATGGCGCTGTTGCACCACAAAAGGCAATGAGCCGGACCAGCAGTCACCGCACCCTCCATTTGAGCGTGAAGCGAGAGGAAACCCTGCCCACCTACACTCGCCAGAACCCGGTCAAACGTGCCACCAAGCGTCTCACAGGCCGGTTCCCGCTCAAGATCTCTAACCCCATGAACCCGACCCTCGTTCAGGAGAACGATGCCGCTTCCTCCAAGTATTCTCGCGACTCTGCAGAGATTCGTCCTCCCGACCTCGCACACCACCCCGCTCTGTACTCGGGCCACATGGTTTGAGCTGGTTGACTGGTCAACTCGGTCAAATGGTGTTGTTTTGAAGGAAATAAAGAAAGACTTGCGTTGGTTGAATAAGAGATCTTGCGTTATGGCGATGGGCGCTCTCGGCGCTGTTTTATTCCCCTCTTTTGCTTTTGCTGCTTAGTGTTTTAACAGATCTAATTGAGACATATCGTTTTTATAGCACATGTTTTTATAGCGACCATTGGTAGTGTGTGTTATTAAATGTAGAAGGGGAAGTAGTTACATTAGAATCGGCAATAGTAAGTGGTTAAAGGGCAGTTTCCAAAAAAGGACGGGGGACCCACGTTTGGCCCCGACTTCAATGAAGCTACATATGACATTCGAAACACTCTTACACCTTTCTTTCGTCGAAACTCGATTTAACCTGTTCGAGATTCCGATGAAGTAAGGCTCATATTCTGGCAAATATGGCTACCATTGCAATCTCCTGGGGAACGTAAGTCTTGCAAGCTCTCTCTACATCCGCAATCTATCCTGACCGTGAATAGCGTCAAATCACTTCTCATATTTTTCGGCCCAGTCATAGTCCCACGCCTAATCACCTCCTATCGAAGTCTCCGTGTGTCCATCGCAAGTCGGCCACCGCCGCGTCCTCTCCCTGCCGCGCCCGGTCGCGCGCTGAACATCTTATTCGGTGGCATCGTCTTCTTTCTACTTCTAAGCCTACCTTTCAACCCCCACGCGCCCGAACCCAACATCTTCTCCCAGACTCGTTCTCGTCTAAACACCCCTACCGATGTCATCTTCAACCGTCTCGCCCGGCTTCGGCCAGATAACTTCCTCACCGAAGCCGACAGTCTCCTCCAGTCCAAGTTCACCTCTCTCGGCGCCCGCAAGGTGTACCTGACCTATGGCCCCGATGCCCTAGTCTCGTGCCAATACTGCTCCTTCGACAATCTCTACACATACCTCATGTACTACCTCCCATTCCACGTGTTGCTACCGCACCTCGGGCACCTGCTGCTCCTCGGCGTGGCCACATCCGCGCCCATCGCAGGACGCGAGGCCTCTCGTTGGCGCATAAAGTTCACCCTAGCTGGGCTTGTTCTGGCAGCCATCGATATTTACATCATGGCCACCTACGACGCGATCCAGGGTGCGCCACGTTCTGTGCGCGCGGGCCAGACACCGCCCTCCGGCCTCTACCACCACATCACACTCCTACGACCGCTGGTGTTCGTAATCTGCGATGTGATCTGCTCGGTTGTACTCTGGCTCTCCGCGACTAACCGGTTCTTTTTCAAGCCGCCCTCTACGGTCGAGCAGGTTGATGAGGCGGTGTCGATGGCCGTGCAGACGCTTGTGGGCGCAAACACCAAACTCCATGCCGCGAGTGTTACTCGCAATGCGGTGGTTCGGGATTCGACTTTGAAGAATCGAGATGATTTATACTGGCGGACTATGGTGAGTGCCGAGAACCCCACTCAGAGGCCCGGAGAAGGCGGGGAGCAGATCCTCAACAATATTTGGGAAGAGGAAGAAGTTGCTAGAGCTATGTCACGGGTAATGGCCGGACAAGGTGGAATTGATTTGGCTCAATTGGGAGTCAATGCTAATGATTTTGTGCGAAATGTTACCGAGGGTTTAGAGTGACAGTTTAGAGTGACATATGTATCATCTTAATATACATCGTACATTCATATAAATGTATCTATTATTATCCCATTTTTTCAACGTGCCAAGACCATAGAACTGGTCAAAAGGTCAAAAGAAGTGTAAATAGACCGGAAATGGTAGACTGTTGACATCCAAACCCATATACGGAATTCAACCAAATTTTTTCATTATTATATATCCATCCAACCAAGATAGATCTGGATTTAGTGCATGCATCTCATACATCCAATCATTAATCTCGACATTCAACATTTAACGAGGCGGTGAGTGGAGCGATGATCGTCGTGAAGAGATGAAACGAAAGTTGAACCACGTTCCCCCTCTATTCCCTCCTTTTCTCCTTCAAATTATTCTCTTGCACTTTGACACTGTGGCTTTTCACGTTCCTGGTTGAACGAGTCAAGTTTAGAAAGTAAATAAGGCTCAGATGAGGCAGGTCCCACATCCATCTCGGCATTGATCATTTTGGCTCGATTCCCGGTTCTCGACTCTACTCTCGGCCCTCGCTCCTCTCCCACGGCCCCCCCGTGGAATTTCGAATCTCCTCCACACTATTGGTGCTCTCTCCACCATGGCAGACACAGTTGTGCCATCGCAACCTTTACCAGAGCTGAAAGCGCGCAATGCCTACGTTTCCTCTCCGAGTGGATTGCGCCCAGCCAAGGAGACCACGTTCCGTGAATGGGTGGTTGCCAACCAGATCGGTATGAAGAAACACCTCAATCCTTCGATATAATATGGAGATAAAAGGCACGGCCTGTATCTGACAAAGTCGCTGCGCTCATTCAATCTCCGGAATATGCGAAATCCCCCACATCTTGATAATACCGGTAACGCTAACACCAATCTGCTTCTCTATAGGAATCTCCTTGACCATCCTGGCTATGTTGCTGGCTCTGCATAACCTCTACCCTTCCCTCCGCCCATATACCCAGCCCTTCTTCCAATTGTCCTATTATAACGAATCCTCGAACTCATACGTGCAGGGCTGGGACGATGTCTACTTCGTCATCAGTGCTGCTATTGCACTCACCGGTATCCGCGCTATCGCTATTGAATGGCTCATGCAACCACTGGCGCGCGCTTGTGGTTTAAAGCGCAAGCAGTCGGTTCGCATCGCTGAGCAGGGTTGGCAAGCTATGTACTATTCGTTCATCTGGGGAGTCGGATTGGTATGTTTGGCCCACACCTATTTACCTGGGAATATATAACTAACTGTTTCTACCACTGCAGTACCTGTGGAAGACGTCATACTATTGGGGCGATTTCGCCGCTATGTGGTCGCAGTGGCCCGCCCGTCCTTTGTCTGGTTTGATGAAGTGGTATCTTCTCGTTGAGCTGGCATTCCTTGTGCAGCAGATCTTCGTGATCCACGTGGAAGAGAGACGGAAGGACCATGTCCAGATGCTTTCCCACCACATTATTACCAGTGCTCTCCTGAGCTCTGCTTACATCTACGCCATGTACAATGTGTCCAATGTTGTACTCTGTCTCATGGACATTGTGGACTTCTTGTTACCGGTTCGTCAATTCCCATTCGTCCAAGTACGTCTCAACAGCTACTAATGCCTCCATAGTCTGCGAAGATTCTCAAGTACTCCAAGTTCGAAACAGCCTGCAACATTGGCTTTGGCCTCTTCATGGGTACATGGTTCATTACCCGACACATCATCTACCCCATGGTGTGCTGGTCCGTTTATTATGATCTCCCCCGCGAGCTCACCTATGGCTGTTACACCGGTTCAACAAGCGAGTTCATTTCAGCGGAGGCCCCAAATGCCTTCGCATATATGCTTGGACCATACTTCAGTTTGGACAACCCCATCTGCTTCAACCCCACTCTCAAATGGATGTTCTTATCCCTCCTGTTGATCCTTGAGGGACTTTCCATTGTGTGGTTTAGCATGATTGTCCGCGTTGCCTATGGTGTGATTTGTGGCGGTAACGCCGAAGACACCCGCAGTGACGAGGAAGATGAATATGAAACGGAAGTGGGAAACCAGTCCACATCCCACGTTCCAGCACATTTGGCCGCTAAGGACGGTGCTCCTACTGACGCCCTCGAAACCGGGAACGCCCCGGGCTTGGACCGTCGGCGGTCCAACGGCACTGCATCGGTGCGCGCACGGGGTCGTGGTCGTGTTCCTTTCGATCCGAGTGATCGGAAAGCTCTATTGGGCCGCATTGGATGCGAAAAGCCTACGTAAATTCCCGCTTTCCATTTAACATTTTCTTTTGACCAAATTTGATGACTCCCATTTCGAGTTCCTCCCTTGCATGCCATGCCTCTGTCCATACACTGTGCCGTGAAACTCATTTTTTCGAGTGACAGTGTCGAATAGCCACTGGCCATGCAATGGAGTGCCCGAATTACGATGAACTGCTATTTCCAAGGTTGTTTGCGGCACATCGTTTTTCAGTCTGCTTGCCGGGTCCTATATCCACTTTATTTTTGTTTTGTTTTCTTCATATTCATACTCATTGTTATGTTGCCACTTGCCGGCTGGCGTCGGGGAGGTTTCCTGGTATGCTTTTTGTTGCCGTGATGATCTCTTAAGGACTTGCAGTTTCGTTCTAGAGATCCACCCAATAATACCCAATGGAAGCATTTGGCCTTGTACATGTATCATAGATTCCTGTCCGGTATGGACTCATAGATTTCCCTTGGGGTGAATACGGAATATAATGTTGCCTTTAACCCCAAATCCGTAGTCCATCCCCTTCATAACCCAACACTCTCCTCGTGATGAACATAGTCCCTAAGCTGTGGTTCCTCGCTCCCATTACTATATCCATACAACAAGACATCAAGCACCCCTATCACATTCGATACAGCTTCCACCCCCAAAAAATCATTCACATCTAAACCAGGTGCAATCGACTCCCCACAAACAGCACCAAGATCAATCCTCTCCAATCGCCCAGGCCCATCATGAACCAAAGCATCAACAAACAAAGCATACGCCAATGGGTTAACCAACATAGCCGAATGCGAATAAGACCCCCCGGCAGCACGTCCCGCACAAGCAACCTGCACCTGCACATTCGAAACCCCAACCCCACGAACATCCCCCAGCGCCGCAGAAGCCCATCCCCCACTCTGCGGCTGAACAATAACATCATCCCCAGAGTACACGCTCGTCGCCGGCACGAACGCTGAATCCCCATCTTCACCACGGAGAGCCCTAATAAACCTCGTATCATACCCCTGCTGCTGCACAGCGGGCGGACAAAACGGCTTGGCAAGCGCACACAGCATGGCAACAAGCGTCCCGTGGAAATCACCGCTCACAGCCATGAAATCGCTTACCGCGGCTCGTGTCGACGGCCAGTATTTCAGCGCCCATTGCACGTCTAAGCTACCTTGTGACCAGCTTAACACTCCGATAGGACGCTGCGAGAGTCCAGAAATATAGTTGATTGCGTATGCGACGTATTCTGCGTTGCTTTGGATGTCGCCTAGCGAATTGCCCGGGATATTGACCCATACTGGGTCTGTGTGTGGGTTTGCCGTGAAGAGCTTCGCGTAGTTGAAGTAGTAGGTGCTTCCGGCTGGGTTGGCAGTTCATGGGATTAGGAGGACGGGGATTTTGTTGTTTTTACCGTAGGAGAAGCTTGCGGGGATGTGGATTGCGCTGCGGAGGGTTTCTTCGGGGATGTCGTAGGGTGCATCCCAGAATGATCTTGTTGGGTGGATTCGTGGACTTGGGTCTTTTGAGTTGTTGTTGGCTATGGAGTTTATTTCGTGGTTTGTTATGCCGTTGAGGATGTCGACTATGTTGGTTGGGACTAGACCTAGGGAGACTATGTCGATGGCGTGTTGGAGGATTGTTCGGTTTTTGGTGTGTGGAATTGAGGCAAGAACTGAGAGGCCTTCTTCAATCGTTGAGACTGGATTGATTTTGCCTGTAGCAATGTCTGATATCTTGGATTCGAGCTGATATAGCCCTTGATATATGTTCTTGCTGAAGGGAGTGCGACTTATGGATGTATTAAATAGCTTGTTAAAGATGCCTGGGATATCCTGAGCGTCTTTCAATGTATACGAAGGTACTGGATTACCGAGCGATGCTGATACGAAGAAAATAAACCAAATCACTTGATGGCAACGCATTGTGACGCTTGGCTCCTTAATTAAGGCTGATTATCTAACCATGGAGCTGACCTGGTAAAAGCTGATGTTTTATAGATAATATGATATCCCATCGGAGCTCAATCAATATATATTTCGTACCATATCCGATGGCTTATTAGATCTGAGTTTTTATTTCAGCGTCAGACACATGCGTATGCATATCGCGTTTCACTCATATTTAAAACGCAAAATTACCGATAATATTATGGATGCTTGGTAGGTAATGCACGGAGCCCTCTAAAGTGTCGGACCCATCCAATGCTTCTCATGCTCGGTGGTCCCAATAAGTCCCGAGCACCGGAGTTTCTTTTGTGTTTGTGTATCCCGAGATGGATATAAATCAGCTCGGGGAGGGTTAGTAGCAACCTAATTATAGCGAACAGGATAGACAGCCAACAACATTTCAGACACCAACCGCCCGAACCACGACCTAAGACGGAAGAAATTACGACCAAAAGGAGCTCATATTCACCGCATGTGCATCTTACAGCGGACCTCGTTTGTGATCTTTGGAATTAATTCTATGAGGAATGGTTTAACCGTAGCTTTCGACCCCCCGTATCATCGTGCTGAGTGTAATGACCATACTACGTGTTTTTCTAGCCGCACATCGGATTGACGCCGATTAGCATGATAGGGCAAATGTCCTTCCTGGGCCCATTATAGTATCTTCTTGGGCAGAGGGAAAAAGATCATAGGACATGTTATACATTTTCCCTCATTAGCTTTGCTCAGTTTTCTCATGGTGGATGTGAGCCCGCGCCCGGATGTTGGCTAGCTCGTAATCCCCTGACGGTCTGCATCGTGAGAATACAAAAACAGCTAGGGACACGGGAGGCTCCATGCTGTACATTCATCTGATAGACCGCCGGTCCTACAGTCTACAGTACTCCCATTGAAGGCTGTTAAAACTGAAGATCTGCACTAGCTAGCTTCAGCTTAGTCAATGCCACATGGCAAAACAAAGAATTTTATAGTTTGAAGGTCATCAATCAATCAGTCATCCAGGACCATGCAGGCGACTACCATAGACGCGAACATGCCTCCTGTGGGGGTATATAAATCCCGGGGTCTATTTCCAAGATCCCGGCCTCGAGGTTCCAGCGCACAACTTTTATCCCACATGTCATGTAAATCGACAGCCGATTGCAACTGAGTCGCAATATATTCCTGCAACTCGGGCACCGGTCGTAAAGCGTAAGGTGCTTCTTTTAAACGCTGAATCTCATGGATGGTTGATGCTAGCATAGTATATTTGTGGAAATTGATGAGTCCTTCCGGTGTCGTAGCGGGGTTCCCATCTTCAATGAACGTCAAATCTTTCAAAAACAAACCTGTTGAATGGTTAATCACCGAGAACTTGAATAGTTAGGGATAGAACTGACCGAGAAATGGAACGCATGGTGCCATTGCAACCCGCAATGTGTCACGGTATGCCTGGTAATTGTGTGCATTGGATATCATGGCTTGTAAGGGCCTTAGCGTGTTGCAACTACGTTCGGTAACCATTGCCCAAGTGCGAGCAAGCCGGTAGACAGGTGCGCTTTCCAAGCCTGCCAAGATTGAGACTACCGCGGAGTAATTCTGGAGTTGATGACATGCCTATAATAGGTGAAAATTAGCATACAGGAAGACTAACAAGGGTGGAGCTATAGTTAGATATTACAACGTACATTGGCCACATTGACTAAATGCCCTATCACCTGAGTCCGCTTTTTCAAATCCGATTCTGTGAGTATTAGGGTTCCGACCCAATTAGAGAGCTGATTGGAATACCGAATCGAGGCCCTAATGTTTGGAGCTAGCTCGGGTGCACTGGAGCCCTCTTTCTTTTGCCAGTTTTTGTTTAACAATTCGACTCGTTGTACTTTGCCAAAAATATGTGCTTCCATGATAGTCAGCTGCCGGGCGATCTCCGTGGCATCGATTTTGAGAAACTGAAGTTTGTCTAATTTTCGTGGTAGAATTGGCTTCGGCGGGGTTGAGATGGATGATAGCGATCTTCTTTTGCAATCGAAACCGGCAAGTCGGCGCTGAATTATCGTGAGCAGTTGTGTCGCGCTTGTCTCGGTGGCATCCGTGGCGCGCTTTGCAAATGACTGCAGTAGTTGCAAATTTCGATCTGTATCAATGCCTTCAGGCTCAGACCAGAAATGTTCGAGCCATTGCTTCAGAACGTTTATCACGCGTAATCGAATCAGTGGCTTTGTCTGGGTCACCCATTCTGTAGTCTGAGTGGCATTTAACACGGGAGGCGAGCAGTCGAATCGATCGATGAGGAGCTCAAGGAGCTCTGCTCCCGAGGTAAAATGCCTATAGGTGGTGAGGAATATTCGGTTGAAGGAACCATCGAGCTTGTCGTGGCGCGTCAAATTTTCCACCAGTGCAGCGAGAGTTCCGGCCCTAACAACCTCCACGCTTCCGTCGTACTCGCGGACGAGTTTCTCCGGAGGTGTGACGTCGTGGGATCCAGAGTCCCTCCGCTCTTTTGTGTCTGCCTGATCCATCGCGACGAGAAAGCCATGGAAGAGTTAAATCAGTTGTCATTCGAGCCGCACATCTGCTTGGATTGCTGTGGTCACATGGCATTATGTCTGAACTGCGGTCAAGGGCAAGGCCGAGAGATTGATAATGTCATTTGGGTAGTGGGGTATTTCCACTGCACCAGTCAGTGTGCTAACGAGGCACCCCACTTATAATAATAGTTGAGGTTGATTTCTGGTCCTAGAAAAAAACCCCGACCCATCGTCCGACCTCGGGTTGAGTTCGTACAAATGGGCAACCGACCATCGGCATTTTCCTTAGCCGCTCCTGCCACTGACCCGCCTTTAACCGCTTTGGGCCAGGATCGGAGAGTTTTGAGTTATCTGATCCGAAACTTACTGGGAACCTTGGTAAACTCGAAAGAGGACCCCGCCACGTCATTTATTTCCGTCTGAGCCACGCGGTCAGATCCCACATTTAGAAATTAGAACTATCAATGCTGAGGTAGTTTAATAATAATTTATTTATGGCCATAGGCAAATGTAGTAGAGGTTGAAGAATTCCATTCCGAGGCGTGTAAAATTTTATATATTATCTTATACTAGTTGTCTTCCTAAAAGACTGTCCCCTTGACCTGCGGCTTCCTCTTCAAATTGATATCCTTCATCAAAATTGTCCATGGAATTGCCAGAACTATAATACCACACCCGACAGAAAGTAGATGAAGCTCGGAGTAGGCGTAGGCCTTCTGGATAGCCAGCCTGGTGGGGCTTCCGACAGGATAACTCAGTTGTGTGACGAGATCCTCGTAAATATTGTTTAGATTTGGCAAAGCCGAGTCCGGGAGGTACCGGAGAAGAGCTTTCAGGTATGTGTTTTGCCAGATGACGGTGCTGATGGTAAGACCCGCACTATCGCCAATAGTGCCAACCACATTTAACACAGCCAGTGCGGTAGCGACGTGTTGGTGGTCGACAGCCGCCAGGATAGCAAGCTGCTCCACAAGAATGAAGGTTGCGCCACCAATAGCGAGGAAGACTTGGCACATAACTTGGTAGCCAACATGCATGTTAGGCTGGCGGAAGTATATCATCAAGCCCTGTGCGAGGGTATAGAGGGGAATGGCGATATATAGAGTCCATTTGTAACGACCAACTCTCCGGATTAGCCAACCCGTGCCCAGCAACAGCACACCAGAGACCATATCGAAGATATTGACGATATAGTTGGAAGTGGTAATGGATAGGTCGTTGTTAACCTGCAGCCAGGATGTGAAGTAGTAACTCCAGCAATAGTTCGAGAGCTGGTAGGTTGCATCTAGGAGAACTGCACCAACAATAGTGCGGTCCGTAAGAAGTCGCCACTCAAACAGAGGCACTGGAGCCAGCCACCTTTCCCAAATCGCGAACAAGAAAAGCATACAAAACCCGACAACTAACATGGCAATAATATAGCCAGAAGCCCAATTATCGGGGGCGTAATGGGCGAGGTCGAAGGGAAGCTCAAACAACACAAGACCTACAGTGAACAGGACGACTCCCAAGACTGGTACTTTAGATTAGGTCTTGCCTTCTCTCGTCGAGGATAGGAATCAAAAAGCAGGGTACTTACCATCAAACTCAATAGTCCAATGACGAATGCTTTCAATCACCGTCCGACCACTCGGCCTCTTGATCCGATAGCCTTCTTTCTCCGCCTTATGCAGGTTGTACTTCAGCATAATGTATAGCGGGGCGGACACTATAGGAACGACGATTGCCCAGCACCCAAGGCCCCATTTCCAGGAAACTTGCTGGTAGAATTCGTTCGCTACCTTTGGTCCCGCAAATGCCGTGATAATGTATGGGGAGGAAGTGAAGGCGTAGGCGAAAGCACGGTTTCTCAGGGTTGAAACGTCGGCTGTCATAACATCGACTGCGTACTCGATACCGTAGAAACCGGTATAGTAGAAGACCTTACATGCCAGTTAGCATTGGATACTAAATAGCATGACATTTTTGGAACTCACGTTGGCAGCACAGTAGATCTCAAAGCTATTACAGCTCGCCATGAGAACCAAGCCGATGGTTAGACATATGACCATCAAGAGAAACCCTTCTGCACGACCCCATACATCCATCATTTTTGCGACAGGTAGATAGGTTGCAGCTGCGAAGACGTCCCCCAGAGCTGTGGGAACTGCGGACAGCGAGTGTGCTTTGAATGAGCTTGTCACATAGGGGTTCAGAGTAACGATAACCGTAGATTGAAACGCATTCGCAAAATAAAGGAACCAAATGCTGTCGGAATCATGATATTAGTATCTGTCGGAACATTGATCACGGTATTGAATCCGCGATACAAAACACAGTGATTGGGAACATACTTGATAAAGACTGCGATCAGCGTACCCCTCGACCATGCCATCGTCACGGCCTCAACATCTTGAACACCATGCTGGGCACTCCCATCAGGTATCTCTTCCAGCGCCACGGAGCTAGCGGGGCTCCGTGCGCCCCCCATTTTAGCATCATGGGCAATGTTCTGTGCGAGGTGGTCATTATCATCGCCTTCAGTCGACATGCGGCGGAACACAATTCGCGCTCTTCGGATTAAAGGGCGAACACCCATTATGGTTGACTCTAGAAGTCAAAATTGTCCAGATGTCGGACTAAATCAGGTTGGACCACATGTGGACAAAACAGGGAATAATTGCCCTTATAGTAAATTAGCACCGAAGTCGGATTTCGTATTTTCCCATTGACTAACTGGAAACTAACTAGTCACATACTGCAGGGGCTGTTCCTGGACATGTGGAGATTTGATCCCTAGTGCCCTCTCTACTGCTACTGGCGGTTAACAGAAAAAAAAAAACAAAAAAGATAAGATCCTATGTGCTCGTGCGTTCGTGGGCCGGCCCACGCCACTTTTCCTTGTCGATCGGAAATTACGCATTTATCCACGCAGAATCCACTGGTAAATTATTCCCATCCTATCAGAGGAAGTTGCATGATTAATTGAAATGGCCGGACAACCTAAATTGGAGAAAATTAGAGAGAATTTTATGTTTAAGCTAGGGTTTTACCCACAACCGTAATATATACCTTGGCTTCGGCTATCCGAAAATTGACCAGGCGTACATAGATCAAGTGAAATAAGACCCGCTTCTGAAGGCATGTACGGAATACTGAAGAGCGTGTACAGAGTGATTGAGGGCGGGATGATATATTTCTTTTTCTTTTTTCTCGCTTATGTGCCGATCCTTTTTGTGATTTCTTCTGCGAGTTTCAGCTAACCTATTGGCCAGAGTGTCGACTGTGTTGACAGTGTTGGTCCCAAAGTACAATTTTCAATAGGTCCAAGCACAAAGATGGATGGGGATCATCACCCAAGCTAGTCAATCTAGCTTTGGACTTGTTTATGTGCCTTCAGGGTCTATATGTGACGATGCTCAGCTCTCAGCCTGATTCCCCGAGCCCACAGCTCTTCCCCGACAGCTTTCTCTTGATCAAGACATCCGCATGTAAAATCTATTCTTCCGCGAGTATCGCGTGAGCCGGAGTATTCCCACAGATAGCGTGTGTGGCTATCTTGTGGGGTTGTAGGGCGGCTCATGATCGTGCCTCTCTAGGAAGGCGCATCGGATTCCTCAAAGGATCGACACGGAAGTGGGTGCTCGCTCGCGTGCACAAGTGTGGAACCAGCCTTTCTCAGTGGCACAATTCTAACACAGTGTTGAGTTCATTTTTAGTTCATTTTTAACACAAATGAGGGCGATAGAAAAAGGCGAATAATTATGGGCTTGGTCAGTCGAGAAAAACCAGAGCGGAATATAGAAGGAGAAAACGCTCCTACAGGCCAAGGATCTGATATACTCTGAAATACCGAGAAATAGGCTTCAACAGATCCCACATAAGGCCGAATCCATCCTTGCCGATCAAGCATGCCGCGGCTACGAACCAACATATACAACTACCCCTCCAAAATTATGAAGCCCCACCCAGCCTCCAGCACATACACAGAATGGGAGTAGTTCGAGATGAAAGGCAAAATGAAGGTCGAAAGCCTTTCCCCAACTCGCTGATCAGTCCATCAGATTGGCCGTGGTATACGTCCTCGTAGCCCCTGGTAGTACTACTGCCATGTTGTTTGCTCGTATCGGAGGACTGGTATTAGCGTATGTCAAGTATATCATTCACATAGTGGGGTGTAGACTTCCACACAGGTTCCGAGTTGAGCCTCGTGAGAGGCTAGTGATGTGTGGCGCGCGAGTAACCTCGCGTATTTTTCCCTCTTACAGTCCTCAGATATAGACTCGCATTCATCCCAAAGTGATTAACATATACATGTTTGAGTTCTAAACTCAAACATTTCCACGGTGCACACGACACGTACTTAATCCATTGTGAGAGGTGGAGATGAGTTCGCAGTGATAGTATTCAAAGACACAGCGGAAAATGCTACGAGGGCGATTGGATATATTTCTCAAATGAATATGAGATTCCCGGTAGAGTAAGTTGGATGGGCTGAAAAAGGAAGGAAAATGGGTGGAAGGAGCGAATATATAGGAATGGTATGTTATTTTACTCGACGCCTACGATATCTAAAGCCCATTGAAGTGTAGGCTGAAACTAGTCCATCAACTTATCCGTGTTGAGACTTCTTTAGAATATGATCAAATATCAAATGATTATCATGACTTTCGTTCTCCGGGATGTGGCCCAAGCCGGATACCGCATTCAATCAAGTGATTGTTAAAGAAGTCTAAAAGAACAGTCGCCGTACTTGCTTGTCAAGATGTACCTACAATATCTGAGAAGCTGGCATTTCACTTAGTATGTGTCTTGGTGCTAATGGTATCCTATTATATATTTACAGTCTATTATATCGTGCTATGCTAGAAAAAAGTGAAGAATAAACAAGAAGCTGGTTTAAAACTGGATTAATTCGCCAAACGCCGCGCAACGTAATTTTATCAGACCTACAACAGTTTCTTCATTCATCTTAGAGGATGAAGTTCGAAGTTGGAATGGTAGCGAGAGGTATATGGCTTAGATGGACGAAGATAAAATCAAGGCCTTGTCGATTGAAATTGAGTGATGTGGGTTGGGACAGAGGAAAATAAAATAAAACGGAAAGAGCAAATTTATAGAAAGAGCATTTCGTTCATATCGGGACGTACCATCAACCCATGCCAGATGTCACGTTCACGCAGGTGGTTGTGGATGAAGTTTAAAAAGATAGTTAAAGCGTATCCATACCACCAAAGAAGCTCGAGTTCTACCTAATTTATATTTTAATGCCCATGATCTTGAATCACATCCTGGAAGACTGCCATACCGTGATATGCTAGGAGGATGGCTAGAATGTGAAACAAGTATTTGATGCGTAACTGAAGGTGAATCCATGACTGCCTTAGGACATTCGGTCAATTCTAAAAGCTAAGCAGCTCATGAATAAGTTCCGCGATATCTGCGCGCTGAGCACGAGTGTGGTCGTAATCGGTACACAACTGGAGGCGATGAGCCCCCATTTCCTCCAAATGAACCCCCATCTGCTCAACATTCGAGTTTAAATAGCGGCGTTGTTGGTCGCTAAGAGACAGTAAAAGTCGCAGTTCATTTTGGACGATATGTATGGCATTCAAGTTAGACCGGAGGGCGGCATGGAGACGAGCCTCTCGTGAAAACAATACCGCATCTCGCATGACTAAGTCGACATGATTATCTGCCTGGAGATTCTCAGATATGAATTATCATTCAGCCGAAGAGACCAATATGTGAGAGTTATCCAAATAACTTCTGTTGAGACCTACCATAGTTGCTTCATCCATCTTGGGTGGTGCAGTTCAAATTTTAAAAGGCTGTTTGGATCTAAGAAGATAAGATCAAGACCCAGTCGATTGAAATTTGGTTGGATGTCGTTTGTGAAAGAGAAAAGGAAAGTAGATGACAGGAACAAATTTATAGTGAAAGCCCTACAGGGTGTTTGACTACGTGGGCTCCTTTGTGATGTGGTCCATTTCTCACACTACGTTGTTAGCCGTGGAGAATATAGGATTCTACAGCAAACAGATCTCGAGATTTACCTAGATACAGTTTCGCCTCAACGCTTAGACAGCCTATTATTAGCCTGTAGCTAGCTTGAAGCCCTGGGCTTTCAGATATGACTAGATAGTTTCTCGTTATTTAAATAGATGGCAAGAAAAATATTATAGGAATGGCCCTGCCATCAGCTCAGGGACCCACAAAGTGTGTGGCTAGGTAAGTTCATTCATGACGGGGTAGATCCCTTATTAAACAAGAGCGGAAGGAAGAGTAGTTGAAAAAAGCTCCCAGTTAAGGTGGTAACGAGAAGGTAACTTTACGGGAAACGTTTTACCTTCCACGCAGCGGCCTACAAGACGTTAATGACTTGCAATCGCCTCCGTTATGGGGGCCGATTTGTTACACCATGTTGCTATTTAGTTACTGTAAGAAAATCTAGAGGAAGCATAGAATCTATACTAATTGTATTTGCATAAAGAAGCCCGAGCGCTAAGAGGCTAGGAGATAAGCTCCAAAAAGGAGCAATAACAAGTATCACTTGAATGTGAGATGGATAGGCTGACGAGCAAGGGCTCGACCTCTGCCTGCTGAGCACAAGTGTTATTGTACTCGACAGTGAATTAGAGGTCCTGAACTCTCACACCCTCTCGAATAGTTCATGAAGTCGCGAAATTGGTTGTTGGTGTTTCTTGTGGAGATCATGTTTTCGGTAAGGACAGCCCGCAATTAGGAGAGGCTAATTCCCTTAGACGAGCCATAAACTCGGTGCATTGATCTTGCTATACATTTTCAGTTATAAGTTAACATTTATTCAACAGTGGTTGATATGGGAGGACTATCCAAAGAACGTTCAACAGCTACACGTACCTTGTCCATCTTAAGATCGAGCTAGATTTGTATTCGAATAGATATATCTGTATTGTATTATCCAAGGTGGCTTAAGAAAGAAAATGGAAGAATACATCTGAGAAGTAATATTATAGGAAACCGATTCTCTCCACTCATTGCTCTGAATGAAGATTCCAGTAATGTACATATGACTAGTATGTGACAATAAATCAAAGGCTGTCGAGCAATTCCCACGCAAGGGCTCACGGTGGTATCCGAAGAAGACGTCGCGCATACTGATGTGACCGGTCAAGCTCAGCTGATAAATGAATAGCCCAAACACTTCTCGGTGAGCGCGAGTGTGGTCGTGATCAGTTATGAACTGTATTCATGTACATGCAGGGTGTTTTAGATGGCTTCCACTTCCTCAATTTGAGCCATAGCCGACAATAGGCCTCGACAGAGGACACATTAGAGGCGGCTTGACCTTCGAGTTAAGGTCATGGCAGTCTTTCGATACCTTTCCGTGGCGCATGGAATCGGCCAATATGGCAGCAGAACGCGTTATAAAGGGCAATGGAAATGGCAAGGGCCTGGAGCGGTCCCTCTTCAAAGTGCCGATGAGTACCATGTCTGCTGGTTAAAGTTGCGGTTAATTTGCGAAGTAGGAGATCCGGATCGAAATGGATGGAAAAGGTTGAGAAAAGGAAAAAAAGTGGTTGTTTGTGTGCTAGGAAAGAGAAAAGGAGAACAGACGATGGGGGAAGCTAATTTATAGCAAGGCAACTCCTAAAGTTCTACTAAACGTCAGCAAATCCCAGTTCCTATGATAATTATGGTATTTGTCACACTTTGCTAGTGATATTATCTTGTGTAGGCGTAGCAATTCTATTTTCGCAGAGAGTGTTCAAGACTTACCAATCTCAACGCTTCAGCTCACAGTTCATTCTCTACCCATTTTGCAAGGCATCTGATATAGAGTTATAAATTATTAGGATGTTAGTGGATTTTGTCAGATCCCCCGAAGGGCCGAAGTAGAAGGTATATATCATTCTAAGTTTCCCTGTGTATGATAAGACGACTGAGAAGGCTTCCCGATGGGCAGCTGGGTGTATGGCGTAGTCGAACGAGTCGTCGGTTGCAAGGCTGTGTGGTAAGGATATGTTGTTATAGAGCGCTAGACTTGGTAGTATTCTAAATGGTGTTAGGAGCTTCTTGTGCTAAGAGACACGATGACTGCAGTGATATGGTGGAAGCTCACGTGGCCGGAGCCCCAGGCTATTCGTATGTATAGGTTACAGGCATTTCCATATTCCCTTCAATCCTCTCCTTTCGCGGACGTTTGCAACACACTAGCCAGCTGCAGCATTTGGCTGCCAGCTCGCCTTACCAGGTGGTTGGAACCTTCTTGGAAAAGCAAGTGACGTTGATAGTGGTTACCGCATGATGTGATTCTGACGATGATGGCTAAAGGAAGGAACGACAGATTCCACCAAATAGCAAGTATATGTACTTTCTAGGAACTGGCTTGATAAAACAAGTTAACATGCAGACGATCACCTGTGCAAAGCTACATGCATATGTCAGCAAAGATCGCGCCTGAAAGGAATCCGCTGAGCTCTACGTAGTACACACAATCGCTATCAAAGTCAGGACTTGATTATTCCAACCACCTCCATAGTGGAAGTTTTGATGCCAGATGGTTTGCAGGAAGATACTTCAATCAGCAATTTTACTACTTTTTACAACCTCTTCTCTACGATCTCCCGAAGGATGGGAGATTCAGAGCTGGACTACCCTGCTCTACAAATTCAGGCCATATATGAGGGATTTAAGTAGGAAGATTAGTTGGAACAAACGGATATAATATTATGTACCAAAGATTGGAGACTCTCTGTGTCAAATGGATCAATAATACACTCAGTTCACATCGACCGAGTGGTACTATGATTAAAAGTCAAGAGGAATGTATTTGTACACCATCTGACAAGGATCGCCAGTTAAACTGCGCTCCCTCTGGGAAAATCGCAGAAAGACTTGATCGGGGCCCCGATTCCACTTCACGATATCTGCCTCTGTGGTTCCAGGGGGAAACCATCCATTGGCCGAAAAGCAGCAATGGGTCCAATACGTGCGTCCTCTGGGATAAGCAGTGCTAGTGGTATGTTCGGTCTCATTTCCGCATGAGCAGAATACGAACTTACGACAATTTCGGAGCTGGAAATTGGTCCGTTTGTTGAATTCAATGCGCCGAAATTGGGTGTAGGATGGACTGCATTCATTGACATTGGGTGTGATTCTTCTAGCTCCATGATTATTTGGCCCACGCCTGCCCATATTGAGCACTGGTAAAACCCCTGCACCGAGGGTGCTTGACGAAGTAAATCCAGTGCCATACGTCGGGTATGCGGTTCGCGGCATCGAAGACTGGTGAACCAAAGCGGAAGACCAATATTGAGGTCAAATGTAAACGGTGGTTGGGTACCATCTGGTCGCACCGAGGCTTTAGGTGCAATGGCAGATTGTTCAACGATAGTTTGAAAGTTTGGTAGATAAGCGTCGAATTGCATGAATGACAATGATGTGCAGGTCTCGAGCATGACATACAACATTTCATGATAACTCAACAGAAGGGCCCCAGTACCAATCTGTTGCAGCGATAAAATGTCTTTAGTGCGACCAACTGTCATCAAATTCTCAAAGGCAGTACGCCAGTTCCTCAACCTGGCCGCTAAACTGAATCGTCTAGTATAGAATTCCTCGGGCACATGCGAGACATCCGCCTGGTTTAGGTGCTTGTAGCAAGTGCGTTCAAAGGATGGGATGTCTATTGTTAAGAGAACGATCGCCTCTCGAGCAGACTTGAGTGAGTCAAACTGCTCCCCCGAGGCATCTTCAGCGTCTTTTAGTAAAGCGGTCACGGGATCCCCACCGGAGGCAAGAGCGAATGTTCCCAACCGAATGAAGAGCGGGATAATAGTATCCTCCAGCAACGAAGCTTTATTCGTAGCCGCAGGTGCTATTTGGAGACGCAAAGCGGCAATGAGCTGGACACCTTGATGATAAAGCTGCATTGCTCCGTCTGCATTTCCCTGGATGGCCTCAATGCAGATGAAAAGCATGCAACTAATCAGTCCGATAAAGGCGTCTACGCTACCCTGCTCGATGCGCTGGCGAACAGCAGATACCGAGCGCGAGTACCAGCCCAAAGCATCTTGATGGTTTTTAGTAAAAGAAACAGAGTTATCATGGCGCTGTGGCACGGGATCCAGGCATTTTTGGGGACGCTCAAACAGCGCACTAATGGTGATGATGGCATCCCACACGGCAGGTTCATAGCGGCAAACCTGGGGGACAACAGTGCGCCAGAAATCAACATCCAATCCACCACCAATGGAGGAGGCAGCACATTCAAAATAGTAAGCAAATGCACGACGCTCTCGCCACACCGTGTTGGTGTTTGGTGATAATGATAAGGGGCTGGTGATGACCGAGTTTGGGGAAGAAGAAGAAGAGGACTGTGTGTCTGCAAAGTCACACTTGCGACCTGTGCTGGTACATCGAACACAGCTAGGCTTTTCTTCTCCGCACTTGACTCGTCGAATTCTACGACACGCTCAATATGAAACTCTGTCTATGGAAAAGGGAAGCTAGCACCTACTTGCAAGTTCTGCATCCTAACTTTGACCTCGGGAGGACCCTTGAGCGACTTTTTGAATGGTCCGACCGAGCCATGGTGATAGCATTCTAGATTTGGCTCGCGCCCAGATACCTCAGCGGGGAGAACACATAACTGTCAAGCGGTGGAATAAAGCCCATGACTCCACCGATCTTCCACGCCGTGTCTGATGAGTAAGCATGTGGTTAGTCAGCTTTTGTATTGTGAAGAGGGCTGCTAGGATCCAACTAGCCAATTCTTTTGCTATTGGGATATTACCTAGAGTTTGAGTGAACATATAAACATATAATCGGGGAGGATCAAAAACATTCAGTAGATGGTCGTAACCAAGGGAAATTTATAACAAGAGAGAAATATGGCGTATGAATGAAGATGTTTGGAATGTACGAAGTAGTAGTAGCAACAGATGGATTTGAATTCAAATTGGGTTATGAATCTAGGGAAAAGATAATACAGCAGAAAGAAACGTTAGTCTAGGCTAGATAGACAGTTCCCGTCAGGGAGGGCAGCGAGGCCGCAAACAATGAGGAGCCCAACGAGAAATACCCTAGGGTTGCCGAAAGGAAAGTATGTTCATGATACCCGGGATATGCCAGGGTCATATGTTGCGAACGGGGCAACAACAGTAAGCTCTTGCGCATTGGAAGGCGATTATGCCCAGCCACACCAGAAGGTTTGGTTCCCAGAAGCTTGCGGGAAACGTAATACCTAGCTGTGGATATGGGTAGGAGTGGGTGGCTCCTGTGAGCTAGATCTATGTCTCAGACATGGCCAACTTATCACAGCCATGAGGTCACCCAGCTCGTTCCATTGCGTCCTTGCGTCCCCGCGGCCCTGGGATGATGGCCATTTGGAAAAAGGTGCCATAGTCAGCAATCATGTAGGTGAGAATGAGGCCCATCTCTAGAATTTGGAAGGCAAAACTGGACGTCACGCGGTCTCTCAACCAGCATTGTCTCTGAGCCTGGCAAGTGCCGCTGCGATACCTTCACTCATCTCTTCGCCTGGTTGACCTCCAGCCTGAGGCTCAATAGGCCGTACAGTTTGTGCAGCGGCTGTTTTCCTGCTTTCCGCTAGAACTTCACGAAGAATCTCCTCTTCTTCATCCTCTTCATCCATATTCCGGTCATGTCTGTCATGTCTGTCATGCACATTCACGGTTGGCAGTTGAGCCTGGCGTTGTGCCGCAGGAGCAGAAGCCCTCTTCGTGCCCTCGACTCTGAAATCTTCTCGGACTGCATGACACCATTGCTGGACCTTTTTCTCTCCCCATCCCGGCACGGCGCTGATCTGCTCTGGTTGTGCATTGATGGCATTTTGCAAGCTCCCGAAAGTGGAGATCAAACTTGCGGCATCAGACTTGTTGATACTTCTGGGAACCGTGACAAACTCCACCAGCGACTCTTTATAGGATTGGGCCTGTTGGGTCCGAATGGCAGTGGGCTGTGCGTTCTCTGAGGACTTGAAGAGCTCGAGATAATGCGCAGCCTCTGGTGCAGACCAACATAATATCAAGGTTAAATTATTAATGATTGATGTTTTGGACAGCTCTCTGAGACTGTCTTCGTGGTTTTGTATGTCGACCATGACTAGTACGAGGCGGAGGTTGTATTTGCCCGCTAGTTGTTTCACTCGGGAGTAGATATATTCGGGGTGTAGGCGATGGTATTTCAAGGAGAGGAACATTGCGCACGTTGTGGTTCCAACCACATAGTCAGCGGGGATGTCAGCATACTCCCAGGGTATGAGCTTTATGTGGGTCAGGATTGGATTGCCCTTTTGTCGCGTGGACACCAGAATCGCGGAAGGGCCAGGGCGGTTGGCGAGGGCTTGGGGTTTCGGTTGTTGGACTTTCGGTCTTGAAGATGCACCTGCAGCTGGGGAGTTTGAAGGGCGTGGGAAATCCATCTCGTCGCCAATGTGCTGTTCCCAGGTTGTTAATAGCAGAGCGATCAATGGAGAGTTGATAAGTTGATTAAGCTATGGCTTATCTGGATGGGGCCCACACCGCCTGAGGCAATCTGCCTCAATTTTCTGCCGCTAATTTTTTTGTTCTTCCTCGACCGCAGAAAAAAAAAACCGCTGTCGCAACAAACCCATCATGGTTGAATTACACAAGAAACGACGTCTTTCGGACGCCGAGAGCCCCGAAATCAAAGTCGAGGCTACTACACCAGCCGCCGAGGCCTCGACTGCACAGAACAACAGAACTCTTTTCGTCCGCTCACTACCCACCTCAGCCACGACAGAGAGCCTGGCAGAACATTTCTCGCAATCCTACATTATCAAGCACGCTGTTGTTGTCTGCGACAAAGAGACAAAGGCGTCCAAGGGATTCGGTTTTGTTACATTCGCCGATGTCGAGGATGCAGAGAGCGCTCTGAAGGAATTCAACGGGTCCAAGTTTGACGGGAAAATCATTCGCGTCGACTATGCCGAGGCTCGTAAGCGTGAGATTGATGAGAAGATTGGACGCAGTGTCCCCACTGCTGCGTCCCGCGAGTCCAAGAAGCAGAAGGAAGAGGAGAGAGGGCAGGGCCTGCCACCCAAGCTGATTGTTCGCAATCTGCCGTGGAGTATCAAGGAGCCTGAAGATCTGAACGTCCTGTTCCGCAGCTTTGGAAAAGTCAAGTTTGTTACCCTCCCCAAGAGGAATGGCAAACTTTCTGGTTTCGGTTTCATTACCATGCGTGGCAGGAAGAACGCCGAGAAGGCAATGCAGATGATCAACGGAAAGGAGATCGATGGACGTCAACTCGCTGTCGATTGGGCTGTTGAGAAGGACGTTTGGGAAACTACCAAGAAGGAAAACGACGAGGAGGAGGAGGAGCAGAAAGAGGAGAAGGAGTCTGATGATGCTCAGACGGAAGATGCCGAAGGTGTTCTAGAGGAGCCCTCAGACGACGAAACCTCTTCCGATGAAGACGACGATGAGGATGACGATCTCGATGAGCTAGACGACTTGGACGATGATGAAGCAGAAGAAGAGGATGACCGGAATGCCACCACAATCTTCATCCGCAACCTCCCCTTCACCGCCACAGACCAGACCCTCTACGACCACTTCAAGACTCACTTTGGACCGCTACGGTATGCACGCGTAGTCCTTGACTACGAGACTGAGCGCCCTCGAGGCACTGGATTCGCCTGCTTCTGGAAGCCCGAAGACGCCAACACATGCATTCGTGAAGCTCCCCGAGGAGCCGAAGCTATGGCCCCTAACAAGGACAAGCCTAAGTCAAACACCGCTATGAAGCACTCTGTCCTTCAAGATGAAAACTCCGACCCCAGCGGCCGCTACACCCTGGAAGGCCGCGTCCTACAAGTCGCACGGGCCGTGAGCAAGGGTCAAGCCGCCAAGCTAGAAGAGGAGGGAGTATCACGCCGTATGGTCCGCGACACAGACAAGCGCCGCCTGTATCTCCTCAACGAGGGTACGATCCCCTCTAACTCCCCACTTTACAAGAAGCTCTCCCCCTCCGAAATCAAGATGCGCGAGGACAGCTATAAGCAGCGTGAGACCTTTATTAAGAAGAACCCCGCTCTCCACCTCAGTCTCACCCGTCTCGCCATCCGTAACCTCCCCCGCCACATCAACTCCAAGGACTTGAAGCAGCTTGCTCGAGAGTCTGTCGTCAACTTCGCCAAGGATGTCAAGGCGGGCGCACGCCAGCCGCTCTCAAAAGAGGAGCAGCAGCGATCCCGCGATACTATGAAGGAGCTGGAGCAGCTGCGCAAGCAGAAGAAGATGGGTATTGTGCGCCAGGCCAAGGTCGTTTTTGAGACTCGCGAGGGTACCAAGGTCTCCGAGAAGACTGGAGGTGGTCGCAGTCGTGGATACGGATTCATCGAGTTCTTCACTCACCGTCACGCACTGATGAGTTTGCGCTGGCTGAACTGCCACTCCATGGCAGTTCCTCCTTCCGCTCAAGATCCCGATGACCGGGACAAGAAGAAGAGCCTCGTCGTTGAGTTCGCCATTGAGAACGCCCAGGTCGTCAAGCGCCGTAATGAGCTGCAGGCTAAATCCCGTGAGCCCAGGCCCAAGCGCTCGGATGATGCTGAGGGTGACGGAGAGAGGGGTCAAAAGAGGAAGCGCTCCGATACTCGTGGTGGAAGAGATGCACGAGGTGGACGGGATGGTCGGGATGGACGGGACGCGAAGCGTGGCAAGACTGGAAACGCAAAGAGCCCCCGAGATGAGAAGGTGAAAGAAGACGAGGACAAGGCCGCTAAGCGCAACCGCATTATCGGACAGAAGCGCATGAAGCGGAAGTCCCGCAAGGGGAATTAAAGGCGTGAATGTTACATGTTATTTTAATGTATAGGCATTATTTATCCCAACAGTCAGAGGGAAGAACTGTTCTTTGTACCTACGCGATACCACCATTTCGAAAATGAAAAGCATGGATTTGAGATTTGATACTAGATTGTTGATCCATTTCTCTGGGTATATAATGTCGCACATTCGATCCATGTGAAGGCTGTTTCTCTATAGTGATGTAGCCCTTAGGTGTTCTTAGCGCCTTCGACCTTGCCGACAATGTTATACCGCTTGCTGAAGAAAGTATACCACTCATCCAAGACAGTCTTTTCCTTGTCCGGGAGGTCATACCACTCAGGTACACAGTCTTCGGGCTTCAGGGAGGATGAGGCAAGAGCACGGGAGGCATCCTTGCCGGCAAAGACTAGGAGAAGACAACAGTCAGTGTGATTGTTCATTCTAATTTTGATACAGTGCTGTACTCACCCCGATATGAACCCGAGGCACCATAAGCGGAATTCCGGCTCACATCAAAGACGACACCCTTGATGGCGACCAGAGTCGGGCGGTTAGGATCGGTACCTGTTGTGTAGTAAAAATTAGCAATGATCCTTGGGCTAGGCGCATTGGAAATGGGGAAATGGGGAAAGAATCCATGAGGGGTGCACGGATGAACTCTCATACCATCGCATTTGGCCAATTCCTCGACGGAAATGGGGTCGTCCTTGGGCGGGTCGAGCTCGACTGGCACCTTGGGTGTGAAACGCTTAGACTCGTCTTGTTCGACCATTGTGATTGTTGGAGGTGAAGTTGAGGGGGAAAAACATCTTGGGGTTTGGCGGGGTTTCCCGAGGTCGGTAGCCGCTTCAAAGCTGCTTACTATCGGCTGTCTGATTGATCGTTCTACTTTAGCATACTCCATTTTTATTTTTATTTCTACCTATGTATAGGTCTATATTTGATTTGCTTTTCTATACACTACAGCTGGATTTATCCTTAACTTAGCTTAATATTTCTATATATATATAATAGTCCCTCGGTTACTGTAATATATTCCTCTAGGTTTGACCCAATCGTGGAATGTACATTGGTGATAAGACCGTGATGGATTACTTATTCGGGCAGATTGATACCTACCTATATAAATATACAGTTTCTCTCTTTTTGCCCCAATCTAGTTAGCCCTGTAGCCTTGTGGAATATGAGTGCTGATATGGGGGAATACCAATGACGTCAAGATATACCTCAGGTGCACCTGACCTTGGAAGAGTTTCCAAAACGTCCAAGTCAACTGTTACACTTGCCTTTTTTTTTTAAAAAAAAAAACACAAATCTCACGAAGTACCACAATAAAATACTATTCTTTGAGATGTCGTTCTCCGACACGCATCCACATCCAAGTTCTGCTACCGAACATCATGCGCATGCGCATCCAGACCCGGATCAACGCCGGACCTCCACGGACTCTGATGTGATCCACCACCTTTATTTTGAGGATAACGATGGCTTCTTTCCACCAAGTTGGATCGGAAAAGTCTCACAACACAGACCCTCGACAGAAAACTCAGGTGGCAACAACTTCGAGGGCACTAAAGACACTAGCACTAGTGCCTACAAGGAAAGAACATGAACATAGTGGAAGGTGGTGTTTTAATCACAGTTTTGATCACAGGAATTCATGTTCAATGTAAAGTCAGCTGTACTTAGTATATTCAGAATTGGGGCTCGATTTACTCTCACAATAGTTTTGAAGTTGTCTTGCAGGTGAAAACCTCCATTCTCCTTGGACCTCGGCAATTATTTCTCTCCACACGGGATAGTCGCAGGGACTACGGAGTATTATTATTAATATTATTTCCTTGAACACCCCGAAAATACTTTGCCAGTGCTTTCTGACATTGTCAGTTAGACCGTGTGATCCCTGCAATCAATGACCTCTTGATTTGGAGCCTCTTATGCAGATCAAAGCATTTAACTCAATGGGCACAAAAGAGTGATCAGCCCCAGTCTTCCCCCTCCTTCCCCCTAGCAGGAGGGCCCTGGAGGGGCCATGTGGGGATAAAAACGATGAACATCACCGGCCGCGTTACTCTCTGATTTAGTTCTACGCCTATTGCCGTCCAGACCCAAGATTTTGTCGATTCCCACTAAAGCGAAACAGGAAAATACTACCCAGCTAGGAAAAAAAAAAAAAAAATCTCTCATTCCTTGTCGGCTTTCTCTTCTCTGCATTTCTTTTTTAAAAATCTCGATCTGCACCCCTTTGCGCATTTATTTATGCTATTGCTTCGCTCTTTCCTGGAAATACAGTGACCAAGATGTCACATTCTCCTAACTCGGGGTATGGCTTTCATACCTCAATGACCGCCGCCATACAGAGCGCAGAGCCCACCCGTCTCTCTGATCCCGAATCGAAACCCGCGAAGATGAATAAAGAGATAGAAGTCACCGAGAAGGACTCATCCAACGCCAATCGCGCGCCATCGCTCGATAGCGGATCAATGGAATCTACATACGACCATACCCATCGCAAGCTCAAGCCTCGTCATGTACAATTGATTGGAATTGGAGGAACAATTGGCACAGCCTTATACGTTCAGATCGGATCTGGATTGCGGACCAGTGGTCCTGCCAGTTTGTTTATTGGATTCAGTCTTTGGTTAGTATTTTCCTTGATATGTTGTTTTGTTGACTTTATTGGGTTCTCGACCTGGGTTGTCCCGACTTTGCTACTTTGGACAGCATCAATGTGTGCGGTAAGTAGATGGACGTGCCAGAAATGCAAAAAGAAATCCGCCAATGGATCAAGAAAAACAACAGGCAAAGCAAAGAATAAGGAACTATACGACCAAACACAGCATCAAGAAACATGATTCAAAGTCTGCCTCCACAATTTCGGATCTCCAAGGATGTAGGACGCTGTTAGACCAGGCACTTCCATGCCAAACAGATGTATGAATCGACCAAAGCACCATTAGCCTTACTTCTGCCCATGCATCTGCCGAAAGCCAGTCGGACACCCAAGAACCCAACCCAGTCCATAACGCCCTTGCTTGCTTCTTGCCTATATCCCATTGAAGATTCGCACTCTCATACTGTTCTCTAGGAGTTGTGTGATTTTGATCATCACCGTCTGTACGAACACCCCTATGCTTCACAAGCCCTTTGCATCTTTCCCACCAGCAGCATTCCTCCGTGTTTGAACCCGTATCCCATAGGATCCCAAATGCACCAACAGTTCAGCTTCTTGCCCTAACATCGACCGATCGCCCAATTGCTGCAACATTCCTCTCGTCTTATTTTCCCATCTGGATGCGTAGTATGACAACCCAACTTACGTTTTATTTTCTAGGCTTGGCTGAAATGGTCACGTACCTGCCTATCTCCTCACCATTCATCCGATTCGCCGGCCGCTACGTCGATGAAGCTTTAGGCGTTGCCGCTGGGTACAACTTCTTTATTTTCGAGGCGGCCCTGGTGCCTTTCGAGATTGTCGCCGTCAGCTTGATCATTAAATACTGGACCGATGTGATTCCTGTCGCAGCCATGAACGTGGTTATTATTGTACTCTATGGGTTTGTCGTCTTCTGTGACCTGCGCACGAGATCTTGACTAATAAACGAGAAACAGAATACTGAATCTCTTTGCTGTGAAATGGTACGGCGAAGCAGAGTTCTGGCTCTCACTGGGAAAGGTCTTGTTAAGTATAGGCCTGATCCTTTACACATTCATCGTCATGCTAGGCGGCAATCCGCTCGGCGATCGTTTTGGTTTCCGCTACTGGAACGAACCAGGTGCCTTCAACGAGTATTACAAGACAGGTGATACCGGCAAGTTCCTCGGTGTCCTCGCGGCTGTCATCACGGCCAGTTTCACCATCGCCGGTCCCGACTATGTTTCCATGGCTGCTGGTGAGACTATGAACCCGCGCAAGGTCCTGCCTAAGGCCTTCAACGGTGTCTTTTACCGTCTCACGGCATTCTTCGTTCTGGGTGTTCTCTGCGTCGGAATTCTGGTCCCGTACAACGATAAGACCATGGCCGATGCTTTCGACAATGGCAAGCCCGGTGCTGCTGCCTCTCCCTATGTCATCTCGATGGATCGCCTGAAGATCCCCATCCTGCCAGACATCGTCAACGCTGTCATTCTCACCGCTTCCTTCAGCGCGGGTAACAGTTACATGTACTGTGCCAGTCGCAGTCTGTACGGTCTAGCACTTGAGGGCAAAGCTCCAAAGTTATTTACCAAGTGCACCAAAAACGGTGTTCCCATCTACTGTGTCGGTGTCGTGCTTGCCATTGGCCTATTGAGTTTCTTGCAGGTATCCAACGGTGCATCAGTCGTGCTAAACTGGTTTGTCAATTTGGTATGAGTCCTCACACCAGTCCCAATTTCTTTCCCGTGCATCCGACTAATCCCAAAATCCAGGTCACCGCCTCCCAGCTCATCAATTTCTCCGTCATCACTTTCACCTTCATCCGCTTCAAGAAAGCTCTCGCGGCCCAGGGCATTGCCCGGGAAACCTTGCCATACCGCAGCTGGTTCCAGCCATACATCGCCTACTTCGCTTTCGTCTGCACCACAACCATGGCATTCGTCGGTGGTTACACCGTCTTCCTTCCCGGAAATTGGTCCATCCCAACATTCCTCTTCTCCTACACTATGATCGGCGTCTTCCCGGTTATTTACTTCGGGTGGAAATTCTTCCACCGGACCAAGTTCCTCAAGCCCGAGGAGGTTGATCTGGTCACTGGTGTCCCTGAAATCGAGGAGTACACCAGAGACTTTGTTATCATACCACCGAAGTGAGTGCACCCTCTCACCTAGTTACGATTCGGTGCTAACAAATGCCCATAGGACTGTCGTACACAAGTGGTGCCAAATTATCTTTGAATAAGACTTTCATGGGTCTCATCACTACTTTGGATAACTGGGATTTACCTATGAGTAGAACACGCCGAAGGAATTCATTTAGCAGTGTTTTATTGGTTTATCTCTACTCTAGACTTAGATTGCATATGTTTATGATATGATACCCAATACAGTTATTGGAAAATGCTTTTTTTTTGTTTTTTGAAAGAATAGCCGCGATTATTAGTCGTATTTGACATCAACGACATGTAACAACGCCTTTTATTATACATATATTCAATATCAACATACAGCGAACAGTATGAAGTCTCATTCCCCATCCCCCCGTTCAATACACAAAGCCAAGTCAAGCTCTCCACGATGTATGTTCTTATTCCGACCCTCCCTCGGCCTTCTCCTTAGCCCTCAAAGCCTCCAACCGCTTTTGATTCCGCTTCCCGAGGACGCGCAGGGTGTTACTCTTCTCAATCTCCGTCATCTGTTGCCAGTTCCCAATCTGTGACAATGTCCCATCGACGTTAACAACCATCGGACCCAGATGATCCAATTTTACCTCCGTCCCGCCTCCACTCATGTCGAGTTTAATGCCACCGTCGCCTTGTTGGTTTGCGATGGGGTTTGAGGGGTCACTGGCGGGGAGGTAGAGGTGCTTCTTGGGTTCTTGTTCTTGGGTCTCTTGGTTTGTGGCGTCTGCGTTTTGGGTGATGGGGGTTGAAGATGCAGCGGCTGCGGAGTCGGAGTTCGAGCTTGAGTCACACATTGTGCGTGTTTGGCGTGTGCAGTCTGATGTTTTGAAGGTGGTCGTGCACTGCGGGAAGAGGATGCTGTAGAGCCGGGTGTTTGGTGCTTGGGTTGCCGCGTTTAGGGATGTTAAGGTAGTAGTACCAGCTGAGATTGAGGCGCGCACGAAAGGATTGACGGATAGGTGGAGGAGAGCGGCGCGGTAGACTGTGCGCGATACTTGCATGGTTCGGGGTTTGTGGGAGGTTAGGTGGGCTTGGTGGAGGGAGGAAAATAAGGATTGCGGAGATGGGTCCGGTTTCTAGATTCCACACTTCCCTGGTTATCACTGGCTATACATACAAAAATCGTCTTCATAAGCCACAACACCAATAATGGGGGAAAATATCTAAGAAAAGAACATCTATAAAGAATATCCGAGGAGAAATCTAAAAATACAACCAAAAAAGACTACTCAAAAAGACGTCACCGACTATGGTCTGACTAGTCCAAGAAAGATCCTGCCTGGGAGACTCCCCAGCCTTTCCAAGCATATAGCCCCCGATTTTCTGTCTTCCCTCAACCAGTCGCAGAGAGTATGCAAATTGGATCCAAGCTAGGGCAGGCCGACCGAGCATCGGATTTTACGTGCGGACATACCGCATTGATATAGGCGTGTGGATGTCAACCTATCGAAACCACCAGTTGACCTGCAAGGACATCAGCAACAGACAAAAACCCTCCCAAAAGAAACATACTCACCGAAGCTGTAACACCCCCACCAACACCCTTAATACTATGCCACCATCCCTTAGGAATGAACAAGCCATCACCGGCACCAAGACACGCTTCAAATCCAACCCCAGCATCCGAACCAGCAGACACCGGAGTCCCCCAAACCATCTCATCTAACAACGCCCTCTCCCTCCCCTGCATCATCTCCTCTCCCCGGAAAGCCGCTGCCTCCCGACTCCCACTCTTCCCCAGCTGCCCCCTCACAGCCCCAAACACAGCCTGCCCATCCGCCGGTGCAAGCAGTCGCACAACCTTCTCCCCAGCCAGCTGGACAAACAAGTTCGGGTTCGGATCGCGGTGGAGCGGCGTATAAGTAGGCGGGTGGCCAATCCAGACATTCGTATCATATACATCACCCTTGCCCGCGCGCGCCACGAGCTCCGGTGTCGGGAAATCTTCTCGAAGCACGGGAGGGAGGTCCAGGAGCTGGCATTGTGCTAGGTAGAGCCGCGTTGATTGGGAAGTGGTCTCGGCCGTGCGCATCCAGTCGAGGAAGAGCGTGAGCGGCGCGTGGAATTGCCGGAAACTATGTGTTTCTGTTGTCCCACCGCCAGATCCAGATCCAGATTCAGCATTCGATGTAGATTCTGTGAGTTCCAGTGGGACGAACGCATCGGCGCCATGTTTCTGGAGATATTCCACGTTCAGGCTTGCAACGGGGTTCGGCGTTGACTCGGGGCGCGCGCGTTTGAACCATTGTTTCCGGGCGGGGAGGTCTTGGAAGGTAGAGCGTGGGAGGATTGCCGGTTTTTCGGGGAGGAAGCATTGCTGCCGGAAGGTGTCCAGGGTGGCATTTTCGAGGATGTTTAGAGGTCGGTATTGAGAGGGTGAAGAAGCGGAAAAGCTTCGGACGCTTGAGTGGGGGTTATAATAAAGAAATGGACGAGAGAGTCGCGTCCCGACTCGGATTGACCATGGCTTGAGCTTCATCCAGATCGACGTGGGAGGTGGAGGAGAGATATTAAAGATCGGACCTCGGGAGAGCCGAGAAAGTGGATCTCCGCGATAAACCTTCAAAGGCTGGAAAGCCATTCTTTATCGATCTATCTAGTGGCCATCAAAGGTTATACATGAAAAGTCTACATCAAGGATTCGTATAAGGCTAAAGAGACATCCAAAAAGAACATCGGAAAATATGCAAGGCCGCATAAGCGGTTGACTATTCTTGTAATCATCAGCTGAAAGGAAAAAGCTTATATAGACTAGATTTATAGACTTATAGATCTTGAACCTGTACAAATCGACTGACCAATACCTAACGCTGCCACTAAGATTTCCGGTAGGACAAGATTTCCAATGGGGATCATTTCTTCAAATCAGTGAAAATGATCCAATGACAAGCCAGATAGGGAGTCGATCACAATAAAGATGCATGAAACCGATGAGGGCCGAGGTCAATATTTTAAATATGCACCCCCGCAACTGCGAAGGAACTGTGGACTCTTGCATGTCGAAAAAACTCGGTCAATTTAATCCATGTGACCCGCTATTTTATAGCCAAAATACTCTCTCCCATTTTGTGCCACGTTAGGTGTCTACATTACCATTTCACTCTTGTCCTCCCACGTTCCACAGTTACTGGATTGCCTGTAATTGGTGTTCACTTGCAACATGCCTTCTTCCATCGCCCGAATTCATAAGCGCCACGTCTACAGCAAAGATGCGCACACTTACTACCCGGTCCTCATAGTAGGTGCCGGAGAGTCCGGGGTGGCCATGGGCTGCCGTCTCAAAGAGGTCCTAGGAACGGACCAATTCCGAATATTCGACCGTCAGTCCGGTATTGGGGGTACCTGGTGGATCAATAGATACCCGGGAATTGCTTGCGACATGTAGGTAATCCAAGTCTAGTGTTCATTTACTGAATAACTAACCCAGAAGGTAAAGACCAGCGGCACTCTACTCCTTTTCGTTTGCTCAGAAAAAGGACTGGTCCACACTGAATCCATCTGGTCCAGAAATTGCACAGTATATGGCAGATGTCTGCGAGAGATATCAAATTGTGGACAAGATTCAGTTGAATACCGATGTCAAGGAACTTAGATGGATCGAGGACGACGAAGAATGGGAGGTTACACTCTCGCACCTTGTCCCTGGAACCGGTGATTTAGCTCAGCACGAACGAGACCGAATCGCAGCCCAGGATGGCCATCACAAGATATATGTCAAGACAGAAATTGTGCGAGCCAAGGTGGTCGTCAGTGGTGTTGGCGGCCTGGTAGAACCTAAGACATGGCCGAAGGACATCCCAGGTATTGAAGACTTCGAAGGTGAGATCATGCATACAGCTCGCTGGAATGACCAGATTGATTTGAAGGACAAGAATGTCATCATGGTTGGATCCGGCTGCAGCGCCGCGCAGGTAGTGCCCGAGCTGGCCAAGCCAGATGCCAACGTTCGATCCATTACCCAACTCATGCGAACTCCTCCGTGGGTCCAGCCTGATACAATCCCTCCTGCATATCTCCCCTTGTACGAGAAATGGTCACCTAGACTGATGACTCACGTCCCTGGACTGGCGTCGTTCATGCGAGGCGTTGTTTTCTTCATGTTAGAGAAAACTTTCTACGATATGTTCGCGGACACGGCATGGGGCCGAAGAGTGCGACCGCAGCGGGAAAAGCAGTTCTTGGACCACATGCGCCAACATGCGCCGGAGGAATACCACGAGATCTTGACGCCGAATTACAGCCTAGGCTGCAAGAGACGGATCATCGACGGCACCTGGTATCGCAGCCTCAATGCCCCAAATGTGGAGCTGACTACCCAGCCTCTGACAAAGGTCAATGCGAAGAGCGTGACTCTTGGTCTGGGTCACCACTACCCACCCCACAAGTCTAAAGATGCGGTTGAGGTTAGGGAGGTTCCCGCTGATGTGATCATCATGGCCAACGGATTCGAAACCAACCAATGGCTGCACCCACTGAAGGTGATTGGCAGGGAAGGCAAGGATCTGGAAAAGGTCTGGGCGGAACGTGGAGGCGCGCAGGCATACCAGGGCATAGCAATGGATTCTTTCCCGAACTTCTTTATGCTTTTCGGTCCGAATACGGCAACGGGGCATACCAGTGTTATTTTCGCAACGGAGAATGCGGTAAACTACTCGTTGAAATTCATCAAGCCGATCTTAAATGGTCATGTCAGCTCGTATGAAGTCACGGAGGATGCTGAGCGTGAATGGACTCGGCAGGTGCAGGATGCGCTTCAGAAGAGTGTGTTCCGTCGTGGTACTTGCTCTAGCTGGTATATCACTGCTGATGGTTGGAATTCAACCACATACCCGTAGGTTTCTCGCTTACTAGTTTCTATTTGTTACTGACATAGTATTCAGATTTACTCAGATTCACTACTGGCTGCGTTGCACGTTCCCCGTGTGGCGGCATTGGAGTGCGAAACTGACGAGAAAGGGTCGGGTTTTGCGAGGTCTTCGGAAAGTTCTCCAGGGTTCTGTTGTCCTTGGGCTCATCGCAGGCTTTGGATTCCTGCGCCAAAATCCTCAGAAGAAGGCTCAGTTGGTGCAGTCATTGCTGGCTGGGAAAGAGTGGCTGGTCTCAGCGGGTTGGCAATTGAGGCGTTGATACCTTTTCATTTGGGTTTATTTGGGCCTTATATGTCTTGGAATTGATGAATATCTCCAAAGGAAGATATTTATACACAATTAACAACTTTATGATCCCTTGTACACCAGTATATTATGATATTTTCCAAGCATAAATACGCCCCGAGGCCCAATGGCTGGCCGGGTAATCCGATGAGTAAGCTGAATCTGGGGAAACCCCGCGAGAGAGGAATTTCTCCGCACTTCAATCGCTGGTATCTCTCTCCAGCTGCTCATTGAGTCGCTTCAATATTGTGCAGGCCATGGCTTCAGAGTCTCCTCATGTGGAAATGTCACCGCCGCAAACGGATCCCCGTGATCAGTCCATCGGTGCGTCTGATTCCAACAAGAGAAAGGCGGAACAAGGCAACGGAACGCAGGCGCGCACAAAGCGGAATCGCTACATCTCCATTGCATGGTATGATATGGCCTGACCCGGCACTTTTTTTCTTTTCCGCTACCTCGGTCACTTCAACTCCCAGTCTTACGACTGGTCGGATATGCTGTTTGCATTCAAAGTCATACGATTCTGCCTTCTCCTTCGGTACATTTGTTGGTAGACCTGAACTAACCATGGAATTTCCAGCAATGAATGCAAGCGCCGCAAGATCAAGTGCAATGGCCAGATGCCTTGTCAACGGTGCGGCCACCTGAATTTAGAATGTAAGTCTCTCTTAACTCTCTTGCTGGCTCGCAGCTCTTGTGTCCAAGCTATTCAATCCTCGGTTTCGGGCGCTGACCCACTCGCCAGGCCGCTATGCGCCTAATTGTTGTAATAACAACTTCAAAGACTCGGAGTAAGTCATGGAATAAAAATCCGTCTAGCATTTAGTACTGATAAGCGGGCCAGTGAGTTCCGGTCAATAACAGACCAGATCACAACTTTACAAGACCAAGTCAACAGCTTGTTCACCAATCTCAATGACCTTCGCACCCAGAGATCAACCTTTGATTCACCAGGGTTTGAGCACCTCTCTCGCGACGGGTCTCAACCGGTCTACACTCCAATTCAAGCTGGGCTAGCGAAGCCACGAGCCCGCCACCCACGCTTCCATGGTCCAACAAGCTCGGCCTTCAACTTTGACGTGGCCAAATCTAGCTTGCAAAATATGGGTATCACACCGGCGGAAGATGGAATCCCAGATGACTTGACCACCGCACATGTTTCTCCATCAGGCTCACCTCCTCCTCATCTGGGACAGGTTCTTCAAACTACACACCCTACCAAGGATCCAATATGGACAATCTCGCGTGAAGAGGCAATGCGTCTTTGTAAGGTTTACGAGGAAGAGATTGGGATCATGTATCCTGTCGTAGATATCGCCAAGATTATCAGCCAGGCTAATCTGCTCTACACATTCATAGAGGCTGCTACCAGGACAGGCTTTGCACAACGGGGGTTTCCAGGCTCCGATGGTCTTCATGACGAAAGCTCTATTATTTTGAAATTGATTCTCGCCACCACGCTGGTCGTGGAGGGGGCGGTCAAAGTGAACTTGGGCACCGGCTCTACTTGGATGTCAAGCCATTTGTAGAATCGAAGTTGTGGGAGCCTCATACCATCAAAACTATTCAGCTCTTTGCTATTGTGGTAAGTCCACGCCTCTTCAAAAGCCGCAGTCAACAAGTCTAACTCTGTTTCCCACTCCAGGCCACATACCACTACCATACAGATGATGATGCCATGGCTTATCGGCTTATTGGATTAGCGGCACGGATGTGCTTAGAGATGGGATTGCATCGTCGGGATGCTTTGGTGAAGTCATTCCCAGTCGAGCAGCAGTGGAACGAGATCACTCGGCTATTCTGGTCAGTCTACAGCTTGGACAGACGATGGAGTTTAGGAACGGGGTTACCTTTTGTGATTCAAGACGAGGATATTGATCCGAACTTACCAGAGCCTGTAAGCCTCCATACCTCTCACTACACAGTTACCTTTCTCAACTAACGTGTGAAAATTATAGGATGCATCGCTGCCTTACTTGCGCTGCATGGTCCTATATAACCGGATCAGCTCTAAGATCTGGTACTCTGGTTTGGGCTCTGAAGGCACCACGGATATCCGTCGTGATGAGATTGGATATTTGGATTATCAAATCCTCCAGTGGTACAAGCAAGTTCCAGACGAGCTCAAGTTCTATCCCGTCGATTCCCCCAAAAACGGCGAAAACGTGAGCAGAGGCATGAGGCGACTCAGGGTTCTCTTGTACCTACGGATGAACCAGCTGCGCATCCTGATCTATCGCCCCGTGCTCCATTCTGCTGCCAGTATTTCTGAAGATCGAGGCCATGCCCAGACCGTTGTGGAGGTAGCCAAAGACTCGGTCCGTGTCCTCACTCGGCTGAACCAGATGTCCGATATCTACCGGACCCAGCAAATAACGTTCAACTATTTCCTGGTTGCTGCATTGGCAGTGTTGTTCCTAGCAGTGTCCCATGCCCCGGTCGACTTCAACCGACAGGTCCGTGATGAATTCTACATGGCGCTCGACCTGGTCAACGGGTTTAGTACTAAGTCCTACGTCTCCAAGCGGTTGTGGAAGACAATCAAAGGTTTACGCAAGATCGGGGAGAAACTTGGCGTTCTCGCCCGTCCTTTGGGACCGGACTCAAGTGATGCTCATTCAAGCGCTGCGGTAGCCATGGCTGGACTTGCGGGACATCCAATCCAGGACCTGTCTATGTACGGGTCCATAAACGGTGGGAACGAACTTGGAAATAGTCCTCTCAATGGACTCCAAATGAGTCAAGAGTTGACAAATCTGTTTGAGGCTGTTGGTGCATTTGGTAATTTCATGCCTAACACTTCCAGTGATGGTATCAGTGGCTTCGTTGGGCCGGATGGGGAAATCCAGAACACTGGTGAAGGTTTATCGGGGGTTTTGGGTGATGAGGGAGAGTTCGCTCGAGTGATTCGGGACTTGTTTTGATATTTTAGTCAATACCCCTTGATAGGTTAGCTAGGTAGTAACAAACCCAGTGTAAAGTTAGTTAGCTGAGTCTTAATATGAATATCAATGACCCTTCCATATCCAGCCTCCAGGGCTATATCCCCCACGTCAGCTGGCACGTGACTACTGCCACCCAGACAAATCGAAATCTGCCAGCATTAACTTCACTTTTGCCATCGTGGAAAACAACAGACATACAAGAGCTGTCACAATACGTGAATAGCCCTTGAAGGCCTCTCTCCCTCTTCAACTGCCCACCGCCCCCGCCAACCGAACGGGCCTAACCCGATTCGACCAACACACCCAACCTCCAGGCTCGAGTCACCAATATTAATCTCCGACTATCTTTGAGATCTGGTAAGTGATCTGATAAATTGCAATATGAAGACCATAAGAAACTGATAAGATATTGGTGGGGTTCAGCTTTAGATCCAACCTCTTCCCGTTGATCGCACAATCTCCCCCTCTCCCGCACATTGCCATGAACGTCTAGCTTTTCGACCCCTCCATCAACTTCAAGATCTCCTACGATTATACTCGAACTCTTTCATTCTCACTCTCCTATCTCCTATACCCTTTCCCCCACGATCCAGCTCCTCCGCGTGACGAAATCACTTCGTCTTCGCCAATATCCCCGAAAACCTCACCCCCCAGCTCGGCAACGTGTCGAGAGAGACAGGTTCGGCGTTGGCCGACGGCCTCGACAGGCTGGATTTGAGTCAACTGTCTGAATCGACCCTATCGTCATCTGTGTCCGCCTCGTTCGACATGTCATCCTCGGAAGGAGCGCCGGAGTCCTGGATTTCCTCGTTTTGTTCGTTGATGGGCCATGAGTTTTTCGCAGAGGTGTCGGAGGACTTCATCGAGGATGACTTCAATTTGACTGGTCTCCAGTCGGCGGTGCCGATGTACAAGGAGGCGCTGGAGATGATCCTGGATGTGGAGCCAGAGGATGACGAGGAAGAGGAGGAGGAAGAGGAGGAGGAGGAAGATGAAGACGATGCGCTTGGCGATCAACCTGCATACAGAAGAGCAGGCGACCGGCGACACGCCCGGGTCGCAAGCGATCTGAGTGTGATTGAGAGCTCCGCCGAGCTCCTGTATGGGTTGATCCACCAACGGTATATCACCTCGCGGCCCGGCATCCAACAAATGCTCGAAAAGTACGAGATGCAGCATTTCGGCACCTGTCCGCGAGTCAACTGCAACGGATGCAAAGTTCTCCCCGTAGGCCGATCCGACACGCCTGGCCAGGAAACGGTTAAGCTTTTCTGCCCCGGCTGCATGGATATTTATACACCCCCAAACAGCCGTTTCCACTCCGTCGACGGCGCATTCTTCGGTACAACGTTCGGATGTCTGTTCTTTATGACATTCCCAGATCTGGATATCGGGCCCCGCCTGGATGCGGCATTATCAATGATGTCCCCACGGGGCGCATCAACGCAGTCTCGCAATGGCTCCCTGACACGCACCCCGGCAGGTCGTCAGGCACAGTCTCCCACACCTGAAAACCAGCCGCTAGAAATCAACGGCGTCCGGACAGCCAACCTCTGCCCGGGACTCGGCAAGGGCAAGATCTATGACCCCAGAATCTATGGCTTCAAGGTCTCCGAGGTCTCGCGTGTCGGCCCGCGTATGAAATGGCTGCGCATGAAACCCAGAAACGTCGTCGAGCTTGACGAGGCGTGGAATCACGAGCACGGGATTTCTCCGCAAGACGCACGCGACGATAAGGACGGCGATACTGAGATGAACCCCGAACAATCGCAAGATGCTGCCATTGCGAACCGCAAGAAAGCCCCGATGCGGCGCCGGCGACAAAACCTTGGCGCTTTAGTCTCCACAGATCCGATGGACGTGCACGGTAGATGAAACGATTAAAAAAAAACTTGCATTCGTGGTTGTTTCCAAGATTTGAGTCTACCGTATCAGAGGAGGATCTGTGCCATGCCCTTGACTGTGGAATTATTGGCCCAGGAATTGATGACGATGATGACAGATGTTTGAGCTTGGTTTACTCGCTGCTTTGAATGGGATTCTTTTTTTTTTCTTCTAATCTATTGGGCTTTTATTCTGTCTGCGCGCATCTTCCCTGGCCTTCTTCCATGATCCTCTTGTTTCGATTACCAGGATCGATTTGTCCCCATTCATTGTTTTATTCTTCCTATTTTTTGTCCGTAGACTCAGCACATTACTTTTTTTTGAATGGAACGTGATAGTAGTACACATTGCTTACCATACTATCTTTGTCCCCGCTTCACACTTTCCATAGGTCTCAGATGGGCCAGCATTTAAGGGCCCACCTAGGCACCTCCACACATCAAAAGGCAAATCACCATTAGAACAACAGAGCCTCAGGTACGGGGTACCCAATTCACTACTGATCTGCAAAAAAAAGGCTGAGCCCCCGCCATCTATGAGGCTCCAACTGCAGATGAACGTTGCCCAACAACCTCGTATACACCGGCGTCCCCGACGCAACCCTATTTGATTTGTAATTACTCCGTACTCTATACAAACTCAAACATTCCAAATCCGATACAGCAAGTCCACGAGTCCATTCATGCGTTAGCGTACTCGTCGCTTCCCATGCAAGACCTTGACACATCGGCGACGCCGATGTCAAGGATGTACCATGCCCGTGCCACCTATGACAACAGTCTCGTATTAGGCCGCGTCGTGCCTTATTCCATGCTTCCGCACTTATCAATCTGATTTGTGATAATCACTCATAATTTATCATCCAAAAAAAGTACGGGGAGTATAATTTATAATCCAAATCGGTACTTACTACATAAAGAAATCCGCATTAAGTCTAGTGCTCCGGACTGGCGGACTGGCGGAACGGCGGGTAAGCGGTCCACCTGGGAATCCCATTGGGGATTTAGCGTATCTGCGTATAACGGTTAGCGTATATGTATATGCATGCCCACCCTGGTCAATTATTGGGGTTGGGCGCGTAAACAATAAATTCAACTTGGTTCCTCCTATGAAAATGCTGAGATAGTGGTGTAACGCTGGAACTGTCACATGGGGCATATGTATGGAGTACATATGGCATAGGCCAAGGGCGGTTCTTTGATGGTGACGCGTGTGATTTCCAAGGATTGGTGCCGTCGATGAGCTGTTATAGTGGGTCTTGGCTAATGAGTGCATTGTTTGCGTTAGTTTTCTTTAGTTTTCTTTAGTTTTGTTTTGGGTTTTGGGTTGATAGTTGGTTGAATGAGGGCGGTTGTATATTGCCACGCTCCTCTCTTCTTCGTTTTCTTTTTTTGTTAAACACCTAGTGGTTTCAGCTGCTGGGTTTTGCTGGAGGTTTCTTCTTCATGAGCCTCCAGCGCTTAGTTCCTTGCACCAGTGCATACCAACCTCCACCGGTCATATATAGGGTTGCTATATTAGTTTCTCAAACAATGTTTTATCACTTTCCGGCCAGTCCATGTGATTATCCTTTTTCCTATAAATCTATCTCTGTGAGAATACGAGACTATATACAGATCCGTGAAAGAATAGTGAGATCCTTAACTTTAATGTCCCTGCATAATCTTATATCTTGGCATTGGATAATATGCTTTGACAGTCAGCCTGAAAATGTGTTGATTATCATTATCCTAATATGCTAGATCCATTGTATCAAACGGGGAATGGGGAGAGTATTTGCTTACTATGGTCCTGGTATAGACGATATGTGGGTGCTGCGTCTTGTTTGGCTGCCTCCCTCAAGCCCTAATAGATTAAGAATAATAACCCTACTCAACCATTACTCCTGGTTATATAGACTTTCTTTGTTTTAATATACCAGCATCTCGGGATAGACCTGATTTTGGGCAGATTACGCTCTCGGATAGCACGGTCCTAAGACCAACATCCTGGTGCGTCACATTATTCTGATTTCAGAAACCCGGGAAACTAAGAACAAGGGGACATCTACCGAGCCCTGGGACAATTTACGCGGCAGCTAGAAAGAATCCAGAGCAAACAAACGGGTGTGGTATAGCACTCGAAATATTCTAATTGACGAGGCGGTCGACCCAGTGCTATTATGTTTGGTACTCCGTATTATTACACCGGGCTAGCCTTTACAGTATACAATTATCCGGGAGCGATGTTAATATCAAAGTCAAAGGATGGCCCAGGAAAGGGAACGGAATATGAATTCTTCGGGGGACTTCAATCCGACATTCCATCATCTGTGGTCTGTGGTCTACGAAAGTGAACTCCTGACAACACGACTAGAGCAGCTTTCCCTTCCCCAATCAAGTTATATTAACCGAGTTCTTTTTTTCAGCTTCTAAAATTACGATTTTAATGGGCATTTAGAGCAACGTGGGCAAATTGAGAGCAGACTAGACATAGTACCTGCCCGCTTTCAACCCACAATATAAAACGCCCTCCGGGCCTCCGGTGGGGGCCATTGAAGCCAGAATTTAGAGATAATAAAAATAATAACTAAAATGGTATGAAAGTAAGAGCAAAACAAGCCTTTGCTTACAATACGGAGAGCTTATCTAGGCTTGGAAGAACTGTAAATAAGAATATTATTATTTTAGTCCAAACATGTCAAGTAAACATTATTCACGCACGTTCTCCCTTTGCCCGGGAAGAACCCGAGCCTAAATCATCAATCCTCCAATGAATACTCCGTTGCCTCAAATATCCATAATTGGAGGCTCATATGGTACATCGACAAAACAGTATGCATGCCTAATTAGTGCCACGCACTGCGAAACATGCATGGTAATTATTACCCCAGAACAATATTGGACAATCTGGACCAGCCCCCAAAAGAAAAAGCCAAAAGCCGAAATCCAGCCAGACTTCCACCGAGCTCGACCGACTATGCATGTCCATCCTAAACTAGTTATTATCTATAAGATGTTACTCTGGATTAAGACACTAAACGAACCATGTATGCATATGCCCTCGTCGCATTGGTTTCCCCATTTGTCAAGGTTAAAATAATTCACCCAACAAAG